AAGTTAAATAAACAGGGAAACAATATACAGCCTTGTCATGCTCCTTTCCCAATTTTGAACCAATCAGTTGTTCCATATCCAGTTCTAACTGTAGCTTCTTGTCCCACATAGAGATTTCTCAGGAGACAGATGAGGTGATCAGGCACTCCCTTAAGGCTATCTTAATAATAATAATAATCAAACCATGTTTTTATTATCTGTGGAGGCTATTTTCTCAAGCAAAGGGAAAGGGGAAAATAACAGACATATTTTCTACAGCAAAGTCATGTTTTCCTGTTCGTTTTTTAAAGAACAAACAAGAATAAAAAAGGAGCCCCAGCTTTCAAAGCTACTATGTCTTCACCCTCCAAAGCTCTTAAAGAAAATTACACAAAATGACTCCTATTAATTCAGTGAGCACAGCGCTCCAGCTAACTTTCTGGCAAGAATTCAGTCACCCTTGGAAAGTTATGCCCATTGCTGAGTAAAACAATTTCTTATGCAGTGAATCTTGTCATTAGAGTCAAATATATGGCATCATAGTTAATCCATAGCCTTGCATAGCTAAAGTGAGCTTGGCTTGTCATTGGCTATACCAAGGTTCAGTGCTGCACTGAATATTCGCTGTGTTTGATTTTCACTCTAAGCATGCCTTTCTGGAAGAGACTTTTTCAATCAGAGCACAGCATCCCCATATAAAAGAAGAAATGCTCATTTCAACATTCCTGGTGCCTCATTGCATATGACATTTTCTGTTTGTTCACCCTCTGCTGACATCACATGTCAACAAATCTCAAGCTTTCTGAATCAACTAGGCTTTTTCTCTCTTTTTTCTCCCTTTCCACAATAGCTCCCCTTGATAAGGTGAGCTGCTTTTCTTTGCCCTTTTTACATTTCCTGATGTTTACTTTCTGTGCCTCAGAAACTGGATGTCCAGAGTAATAAGAAGTCTGAAAAGCCCATGTGGGTTTTGGGTTTTGCAGTGAGAGGCTGGTAAGTGAAGAACCTTTAGATGTTTTGTGTCATTGTGTCAGTCTTAATGGCAAATACGGTAACCCATTACCAAACAGCATAGGCCAGAGGTACCCAACATGAGAGCTTCTTGCTGTTGTTAGACTCCAATTCCCATCTCCCCTGAGCATTGGCTATGTTGCCTGGGGCTGATGGGATTTGAAGTCAGAGGCAGTTTTGGGGTAGCATGACTGGTTCAGCCACACTAGGCACCAAGCTGCCTGCCACAACAATGTTGTTGAATGGAGCATGAGAGGCAGGGTTGCCAAATTTTAGTGTCACACAGGACACCGCTGAAATTTGAGAGCCCAAAGTCCAACCACATAAATTATGTGGCTCAAGACATATGAATAGATCCGGAGCCTTGCTAGAACAGGTCAAAGGCTCATCTAGTCCCCTGTCCTGTTTTCACATTGGCCAACCAGATGCCTATGGGAAGCAACAATTGACATGTAGTGCTTAGTATTTACAGTCCTACTGTCATTAAGACAGTAGCCCTATTTGGCTATGCATCCCTCATGCAATTACAATTGCATAAGGGAGACTCTGCGTCATCACTGTATCCTCACCAGTTCCCCCACCCCACCCCAATCTGTTCTCTTTTGCTTCTGGTCCTGCCAACGATTGGCATGTGGCCCCTGGAAGGTTGCTGAGAAAGGAATGTGAATAAATTTCCCAGCCGTTGTTTCCCACCCAGCACCAAAGGTTGGTAGCTTCACCTGCAGGCTTTATTCCCAAACAGAAAAATGATGTCTTCCAGCTCAGCCCTAATCAGGCAATTAACATATTGTTTGGACAATTAACATTTAGGTGACATCAGCACCATACATTTCAAACATTATAATACCACTTTACCACTTTAACAACCCAACCATACCACTTTAACAACCCAAAGAAGCCTGTAGTTTGTTAAGGGCACTAAAAGTTTTTGGGAGAACAAAACCATTCCTCTCACTACATTTCCCAGAGCTGCTGAGGATTGAGGGCCCGGGGCAGGTTGGAGGGCCAAACATACTCTACTAACAGCTCTCAGCACCCTTTACAAATGACAGTTTGCACTGTTGAAGTGGGTTGATAAGGTCACCCAGGGCTCTTTTGGGAGAAAGCCCATGATATAAATTTAACAAATAAATAAATGTGTGATGTGGATTTGACCCTGGTGTGCAGGAGTGGGGTGACAATTAATTAGTCACATAGCCTACGGTGATTTCTACTTCATATTTGTGTTACATTATTACATTATGTAAAATAATGTCACCCGGATCTGTGTTGCTCTTTTCAGAATATAATTCCAAATTATTTTGTCAAGTTTTCAGCTGAAAAACAAGTAGCCAGTACCCATCCCCTCGACACTATAATAGGCTATGTAAAGCAAAACAACAATCCAAAAAAAGTTGGCAACAGCAATGTCGGATATCTTTTTCTCTCCCACAGAGAAATGTTAATGCCAGCTAAATTCCAACAACTCTAGTTTTTCCTCACCGTTTTTCAAAATACCATATTTCATGGCTGCACTAGTCCAGTAATTACTGCTCAGGGAAGCCTTTCCATAAAGCTCTCCTTTGGAATGCAGAGCTCCTAAAGTTATAGTATAATATGTCTTCTAGTTATGAGATTTGTAAAAGGATTTCAGGCATAGAACAGACAAGGTGTCAAGATGATAAATTTATAATGAGGAGCCGTAAGGGAGGAGTTTGCATATTCCTACTTGGCTTTGTGAACCTGAAATATGTCGAAGGTAGCCAAGAAAGCACAGCCTGAGCTATCAAATTTGTACATTTATAAGCAGTCCGTTGGATATTAATAGCAGGCTCAGTACCCCTGACAGCCTTGACTATTCACACTGATCAGCAATTATTTCAGAAAGACAGCCCCACAAGGTACTCTTATTTTGATAAATGCCTTGACAAGTCTTCTATATTTGGTTCTCTGTCTAACAGGAGATTCAAGGGCAGGACCTTCAGGCTACTTACACCAGGCGCCTGAAGGCAGTTCGGGTGCAGTTCTCCCTAAGGCTCGCTTGGAGGGACAGAGGAAGCTACTATTGGTCCATCCAGTTCAGTTCTGTCTACACAGACTGGCAGTGGCTCTCTGGGCTTCCAGACAAGGGTATTCCTCAGACCTACCTGCAGATGAGGTGGATTCAACCTGAGACATTTCTGCTTCCCCTGTGAAAACTCCCTCTGGATAGTCCACACTTTTGCCTCTGTAGAACAGGAAACACTTAAGTGATATTGGTATGGGAAATAACCATCATTCTGTTTCAGTGATGGCCCCATCTACAAACAGCAGCAGACAATTCTAGTGGTTTGTGTATGGTTTCAAGGATAAGAAACCATGGATGCTGGTTTACCCAGAGTTCTGAATACCTCGGTGGCAGGTGGATAATTACTGAGGAATTTATTTAAATACTTTATTTTTTTTTTGTCCACCTGTCACCATAAGTTCCCCAGCAGGGGAACCAATATGAAAACAAATAAAAGTTTCAAATAAAAACAGAAGTGGGTCCTACAAAGCAAAATACCTTAACTGTCAAATGTCACGGTAAAGAGGTGTGGGAATATTGATTTTCCAAAGGCCCATGCAAAATGGGACTGTGATTAGGGGCTCACTCTTGAAGGAATAAAACATAAAGAATTCTCAGTGCACCCAGAAGACAAAACTTTTTAAATCACAGCAGCAATTCCCTTACATTCAATATGCTTTTCTCTCCACTGTATAAACCAGCTTGGCTCTCTTCTTATCCACTTGAGATATTAAATCCACGTCACTTTCTCTTCTCCCCAATTCTTAAGTATCTTATTACCATCACTACCAGTTCGTGCACATTCTGCTGTTGCTAGAGGCGGCAGAATTGTGGTTGGTTTTTTTTTTTTGGAGGGGGGAGGACAAGTCTCACAAATGAGTCGAGATTATGCTCAGCATACTGGCACAAGTTCAAGCCTCTGAAGGAATCAGAGCTCTATTATCTCAACTCTGCAATTCTAGAAAACAAACTGTCTGCTTAGTGCTAACCCTTCAGATAAGAGAGTATAATGTTCCCTTGGACATCAGATAAAAAGTAAAAAGCCTTGCAAAGAATTTAAATAGAACATACCGGAATGTGTGAAGAAAGAGATCTCATTACAGCAGGTGCATTTCATAGATCAAAGGGAAAATATCACAGAATGCTAAACCTTATGGCTAAGGAGCTAATCTAATAAAAAATGATAAAGGTATTTCAATTTGGCCCAAGAAACTGGTCCATAATGGACTACTGTAAGTTTGTGTCCTTCCCTTCAAACTCTGCAATGCACACGCACAAACACAAACACACACTCTCCCCAACACTGCTTTCATACTTTCTTAGTCTTTTGCTACCATTAAGTTATCCCTTTTCCACCAAGCCAATTTTAAAGGCCATTTCGAGAAGATACTGGATGATTTCAGACTGACTGATTGCTCTTGGGAGAATGAAATGGGATTGCGTCAATCTTTACCAGCACAAGGTGTGTGTGTGTGGTGGGGGTGGAAAGTTGCCTAAGTAAGCGGGAAACATGTCGAATTGGATGTCCCCATTCTGTGACATGACACAATATCCTAAGCATGGCTGCCTTTCTTAAAAGAGATTGCCGTTCATCAGGGTAACCTTAAGTGTGCCTTGAAACTCATTTGCTCTGCTGCTGCAGAAATGGACCAAGACAGAAAAAGGAAAGAAACAAATAATTGTGTGTTTGCAGTGGCCCTGATAAAGCACCTTTTCCAAACACGTCTAAAATCAACTGTAGGGCTGGAGGTTATAGACTTAAAGCCAGGAGCCAACAGAGGATATGTGAAACTGGTAACATTTAATCATCTTTAACAAATAGAGAATGCCAGCACTCTGGAAAAGGATTCACTCTATCAGAAAGACTATATGTATTATGCAATTCCGCACAAGTATTGATGAGATATGGGATTTAGTATTGGCCACCACACTCAGCAACCTAAAGCTCTTATTTTCTATTTGGTTGTTGCATGTCAAGACTCGCCCCCCCCCCTAAAAATTCCTTGAAACTTTGAGCTCTTCTACCAGAATGAGGTGGAACTAGCAAGGGGCTTCTCCAGACCTTTTCTTCTTGATTCTGTGCTAGTTTTACCCAGCTAGTCCCAGCAACAGAATAGAAAGTGACAAAATCCTCTCGGTCTCTCTGCCAGAATGAGGTGGAACTAGCAAGGGGCTTCTCCAGACCTTTTCTTCTTGATTCTGTGCTAGTTTTACCCAGCTAGTCCCAGCAACAGAATAGAAAGTGACAAAATCCTCTCGGTCTCTCTGCCTGCCTTCCTCCATATGAAAGATTTTCAGAACAAAACAAAACAAAACATAGAATATATTAAAAGACACCATACCTGTTGAACCATGAACAGGGAAAAATAACGCCTCACTAATGGGGGCTTTCTAAATGAATAATACACTTCTCCTCCCCCTGGATAAATTCATTGAAATGCTAACCTACCCTATTTCTCTGCCCACAAATGTGGTGAAGAGTTTTGAGGGGCCTTTTGCACAGAGCTCAGATAAAAACATACCAACGGCAAGAGGACCAGTACAAATAATATTTGTAAAGGCCTTGAAGGACAAAAAGATATTCACTTGGTGGTGAGAATAGGTGCCAGATGAGCCCCACCCCCAGAAGAAGACAAGGCACTGAGGCCATAAAGACCCCCCTCTTACATCAGACATATCTAAGAAGTTGGGGTACCCAGAAGAGGGTCTCCAACATGATTTGGCTTATCCTAAATAACAGCTTTGCTCCTAGCAAGCATGTCAAATGATACATTAACCACAAATATAAAGGCAACCTACACAAAGACAGGAAGGCAAACTGTACACAGGGATGGGGAGAAATTTTATTCTCTTTCCTAATAATAATAATAATAATAATAATAATAATAATAATTTATACCCTGCCAATCTGACTCTGGGCAGCTTCCAACAAAAGATTAAAATACAATAATTCATCAAATACTGTATTAAAAAATTCCCTAAACAGGACTACCTTCAGATGTCTTCTAAAAGTCAGATAGTTGTTTATTTCTTTGATATCTGATTGGAGGGCATTCCACAGGGCGGGTGCCACTACCGAGAAGGCCCTCTCCCTGGTACCCTGTAACCTCACTTCTCACAGTGAGGGGACCACCAGAAGGCCCTCAGCGCTGGACCTCAGTGAATCTACCTATTTTGAACTTTTTGTAACAATATGTGAACCAAATGCAGCCGTCTTTTGAAATTCACTCTCCTCTGAATTTTGCAATGCAGTTCTGCAGCAAAGTAATGTGTACAAAATTGCAGAAAAATATTGAATAAAATGTGCATAAAAATGACTATAACAGAATACAATAATGGTTTGTGTTAGGGATAATTGCTTTGGGAAAACTGTATATTAGGAGAAATCCACACTAAAGTCCTGGTGCAGATATGAGAAGAGCTGAATTGAAGGGTGAGAAAAAGAGAAACAGAGAGAAATTTAAAATGATGGATTCATCCATCCCTATGGACATATCAGTCCTCTATACTTTCTGTGCCCGGAACCAAGGCTAGCAACACACACACAACGTAAATGAAGATTAAGCTAAGAAGCACATTTTTGTTTGATCTTCCTATTATGTTTTTTTTAACAAATACAATACAATACAACAGAATAAAGAGAACTAGCAAACAATTGGGTCACAGATTTATAAAAGTGTATCTGCCCAATGCAAAAGCATGGCACTTTTACCCCTGGCCCTTCGTATTCGGTGGAATTGCCTACAATTTAGCCAGCCACAATGTGGGGAAAATAGGTATTGGCAGAATAAATCCCTCCAGATCTGTCCCAGTGTTGGTGGATTCAACAAAGCTATCGCATTCTTTGTAAGTGAGTGGGTCTCTGTTTGTCCTTCAGCAATGCTTACTGGACTCATCAGCTTCTCTGGAAGGCCAGGTTCTACACTCCGTTGTATCATGCATTTAATGAGTGTTTCACCAGTGCTTAGCAATGTCATTCCATGCCACCAATAAGAGAAAACATACAAATTCTTTGGACCTGATATTTGGGTTAGAACCTTCAAACATGCCTGACAAAGCCAATCCATCTGACAGCACAATGTTTGTTGTTGTTTAGTCGTTTAGTCGTGTCCGACTCTTCGTGACCCCATGGAGCAGAGCACGCCAGGCACCTCTGTTCTCCACTGCCTCCCGCAGTTTGGTCAAACTCATGCTGGTAACCTCGAAAACACTATCCAACCATCTCGTCCTCTGTCGCCCCCTTCTCCTTGTGCCCTCCATCTTTCCCAACATCTGGGTCTTCTCCAGGGAGTCTTCTCTTCTCATGAGGTGGCCAAAGTACTGGAGCCTCAGCTTCACGATCTGTCCTTCCAGTGAGCACTCAGGGCTGATTTCCTTAAGAATGGATAGGTTTGATCTTCTTGCAGTCCATGGGACTCTCAAGACTCTCAAGGGTATATGAGACATCTGTATCTTTCTGGTATAATTCCTCTGTGTATTCTTGCCACCTCTTCTTGATGTCTTCTGCTTCTGTTAGGTCCTTTCCACTTTTGTCCTTTATTATGGTAATCTTTGTACGAAATGTTCCTTTCATATCTCCAATTTTCTTGAACACATCTCTGGTTCTTCCCATTCTATTGCTTTCCTCTATTTCTTTGCATTGCTCGTTTAAGAAGGCCTTCTTGTCTCTCCTTGCTATTCTTTGGAAATCTGCATTCAATTTCCTGTATCTTTCACTATCTCCCTCGCATTTTGCTTGCCTTCTCTCCCCCGCTATTTGTAAGGCCTCTTTGGACAGCCACTTTGCTTTCTTGCATTTCCTTTTCATTGGGATGGTTTTCGTTGCTGCTTCCTGTATAATGTTGCGAGCCTCCATCCATAGTTCTTCAGGCACTCTGTCCACCAAATCTAAATCCTTAAACCTGTTCCTCACTTCCACTGTGTATTCATAAGGAATTTGATTTAGATTGCATCTTACCGACCCAGTGGTTTTTCCTACTTTCTTCAGTTTAAGCTTGAATTTTGCTATAAGAAGCTGATGATCTGAGCCACAGTCAGCTCCAGGTCTTGTTTTTGCTGACTGTATAGAGCCTCTCCATCTTTGGCTGCAGAGAATATAATCAATCTGATTTCGATGCTGCCCATCTGGTGATGTCCATGTGTAGAGTCGTCTCTTGTGTTGTTGGAAAAGCGTGTTTGTGATGACCAGCTTATTCTCTTGACAGAACTCTATTAGCCTTTGCCCTGCTTCGTTTTGATCTCCAAGGCCAAACTTGCCAGTTGTTCCTTTTATCTCTTGACTCCCTACTTTAGCATTCCAATCCCGTATAATGAGAAGAACATCCTTCTTTGGTGTCACTTCTATAAGGTGTTGTAAGTCTTCATAGAATTGGTCAATTTCAGTTTCTTCAGCACCAGTAGTTGGTGCATAAACTTGGATTACTGTGATGTTAAAAGGTCTGCCTTGGATTCGTATCGAGATCATTCTATCATTTTTGAGATTGCATCCCAGTACAGCTTTCGCCACTCTTTTGTTGACTATGAGGGCCACTCCATTTCTTTTACGGGTTTCTTGCCCACAGTAGTAGATATGATGGTCATCCGAACTGAATTCACCCATTCCCGTCCATTTTAGTTCACTGATGCCCAGGATGTCAATATTTATTCTTGCCATCTCATTTTTGACCACATCCAACTTACCCAGGTTCATGGTTCTTACATTCCAGGTTCCTATGCAATATTTTTCTTTACAGCATTAGACTTTCCTTTCACTTCCAGGCATATCCGCAACTGAGCGTCCTTTCGGCTTTGGCCCAGCCGCTTCATCAGCTCTGGATCTACTTGTACTTGCCCTCCGCTCTTCCCCAGTAGCATGTTGGATGCCTTCCGACCTGAGGGGCCCATCTTCCAGCGTCATAACTTTTATATGCCTGTTGTCTTTGTCCATGGAGTTTTCTTGGCAGGATACTGGAGTGGCTTGCCGGTTCCTCCTCCAGGTGGATCACGTTTGGTCAAAACTCTCCACTATGACCTGTTCATCTTGGGTGCCCTGCTCGGCATAGTTCATAGCTTCTCTGAGTTCTTCAAGCCCCTTCACCACGGCAAGGCAGTGATCCATGAAGGGGGACAGCACAATAGTTCATCCAATAATCCATGCTTACAATGGCCTGGCTGGCCAGCTTTATTGTATGAACTACTTTAAAACATTGTCCTTTTTGTCTGCGCATGTCCCCTTATGGGCTTTGCTCTGGGCAAGCACCCTCTTTTTACTGACTAATGCATGCTCTAATGTGGATGGCTCAGAAGATCTGCCTTCCAAATATAGCCCCTTGCTGCCTAAAAGCCATAACTCCACCAGCAATAAGTACCAGCAGATTATTTTATAGTCTTTTAACAGAGCGGCCCTACTCAATAAACTCCAATGTTCCTTCTAATTAGGAGCACTTAAAGCCCGAAACCATGTGTTCCGCTGCTTTTTAAAATATCAGTATTTTAAGGGCTCCTGACTATAATTACTGCTGTAGGTTTAATACAACGAAGTTAATGGTATTCAAGAGAGTTTTGGTGGAGGCAGGTTAAAGACCATCATCCAGCATCATCGAAGTCCTGCTGCGGGAAATGCCTGGAAAATAATGGATTCTTTATAACTCCAAACTGTTCCTCGGTCTGCTCATTCATTTTAATCTGCTTAAAGTATCTTAGCCAGTGTCAACATCTTAAGAACTGCTTCATCAGCTTATCTGCCTTGCGAGGGAGGAGTACAACTCGGGACATTGTTGCTGGAGAACACAGCATTAGGCACGCCATAAGAAAAGACAACATATCCAAAAGCGGTAAACATTTGCGGAACCAAGAATGGGGAGATTTAGGGTGAAATCCCAACTCCCTGTTGCTGCCAGAGGGGCTCTGTGGAGCAGTGGAGCCATGTTCAAGTCTGCAGCCCTGCTGTTCTCAGAGACAGCAATGGAAGGGATGAGAGGCATATCAGGCCTGATGCTGGTCAGCACCACTTGTGAGATTGTCTTGGGAACCAATAGATTCCAGACTGGTGTGGTGTAGTGGTTAAGAGTGGTAGATTCGTAATCTGGTGAACCGGGTTCGCTTCCCCTCTCCTCCACATGCAGCTGCTGGGTGACCTTGGGCTAGTCACACTTCTCTGAAGTCTCTCACCCCCACTCACCTCACAGAGTGTTTGTTGTGGGGGAGGAAGGGAAAGGAGAATGTTAGCCGCTTTGAGACTCCTGCAGGTAGTGATAAAGCGGGATATCAAATCCAAACTCTTCTTCTTCTTCTTGGAACAACTCATTTCAGGGCTTTCCATCAGGCTTTGCTGGAAGGAATACAATCAGTGAGCCACCCACCTATACAAATATTCAGTGCTTTTTTTTACTGTCTAAAATAACATTTTTATGTATTTCCCCCTAAAATAAGAATTTTGTAAACTTTTGGGGTGGGGGCAAGCAGAGAATGGTATCACAAAATTTGGAGATATGAACAGTCTAAAGTATGCCTGCATTCCAATGTGTGCAATAGTCCTGGATAGCGATGTCAGAGGGTTCTGAGGAAAACTGCCCGTATTCACTTACTTGCCCTATGTTTGGAATGAAAATCAATCCAGTGAATATTATTGGTATTTGCTACTGTTGTTGTTTTAGTCAGCAAATGATACCTAATCGGTTGTCGTTCCCCCAACTCATCCCATTTGCATTACATTTCCTTTGCGCTAAAATGAATGGGGTGGATTAACAATTTTGTACATTACATAAGTTACGTAATTTTGCCACAGCAGAGAATGAGACAAATAAGGCAGAATACGAACTGCAGTGGAATGGAAACAGTGCTACATGCAGTGAATACAGGGTGGAATGCAAAATGATGTCTTTTTACATCCCTAGACCTAGATGTGTGAGTTATGCTGGTTTGCTTAACAAAAGCAAAATTTTAACAAAATTATCTTCCATCTGTAACCTGTGCAAAAAAAGTATGAACAAGGAATTGACAAATGCAACACAGGCTGCTTATCCTTGAAGACAGCTTAATATATAGGCCAATTCTGCAGCTTCCTCTCACAAGCATTGCATATGCCTGATCCTAGACTTCAGGCAGCCCAAAGACTTATAAAGAAAGCAAAATAGATTTCATTTCTTAAGTGTCAATAAAATAGAAGCTATTAAATACAAATATTAGTTACTTCCTAACTACAAACAAACCCATGATTGGAAGGGACTGAGGTAAGCAATATCCCCTTTATTCATTCATTCATTTATTTTAAAGGAATGAATTTAACTTTGTCTCTCCTAAACTGGGGAGGGAAATGATTAGGTTCTGAAACCAAGCTAGATACACACATTTCCCATTACCAGGCTTTCCCATGTGATTCTTTAATTGACTGGTAGTTTGAGAGATACCAACTATCTCTCTATAGAAAAAAACCCTATTGATTTATATGATGCAGTGTGCTGGTCCCATGGGTTACCGAGAGGCAAGGTGCAAGTCCGGTCTGTGGTCAAAGGTGCAACATGGAGGCAGTCCGTAGTAGCTGAAGGTGGGTGCAGGGCAGGGAGTCGGGTGAAGTCAGGGACAGGCATGCAAGCAGGGAGCCAGGGCAGGTCAGGAGCTCAGGCAGGAAAGCAGGACAGGGTTTTCCACATATTGGTCCATCATGGCTGGGGTGGGTGTGTACGTGCGATTCATGCAATACTGATAAAAACGTAAAACTCATATTAGAGATATTAGTTTTAATGAAGATTGGTTATTTTGAAATAAAAACAAATGCATTTTGGCATAGTAAACAAGAGCCAAGGCAAAGATGAAGCAAGAAGTCGCTTTTACGACTGCAAACTTTGCCCTGCATGGCATCAATTTCTGAAATAGAATTTCAAAGCGTTAGATCATATCTGAATGTAAAATGGAACAGCCTTCACTTCAGGCCTTGCTCATTGCATCATTCATTTTGGCTATGCAAAATGAAGCTGTACAAGAATGATGAGGTTTAGATTTTGTCCCAGATAAACTATAGTAAAATAATAAAGCCTCTTGCTATTCAGAAGGCCTGAGCAAAATTTTAGGAAGCATACCAGCATCAACATCGGCTATGATGAAATGTGTTTTCAAGGCAGTATTTGCCTTTGTTTTCCTTTCCCCAAAGGATTAAGAAAATATCCTAGAACCAAAAGAACTAGAACGAATCATATATACACAATTCAATTTGTGTGCTGCCTTTCCACAGTTCTAACCATGGTTAAAGTGGCTTACAGAACAAAAAATACATAACAAAAGTAGTCGTAAACAATAATAAAAACATTAATAAATATACTACCTAACCTGTGGCGTAGGAAGGGGTTGGGGGGTGCGGGCCACCCCATGTGTCATCACTGAGGGGGGTGATAAAAAACAACTCCCACACCCACCGCACGCCCCTTCCTATGCCACTGCGGGAGCACTCTTCCCTTGAGTGATTTCCAGAAACCAGAAGCATCGCTGCCTCCAACTTTTCGGGCAGAGCACAGCCTTTATGGCTTGTAGCCTTCGACAGCCGTCTCCTCCATGAATCTGCCTAATCCAGAGGTGTAGCTAGGTGAGGCAGGGGGCACTGGGCTCCACACCGCGGGGCCTGCAACGTGCCTGAGCCACACGTCTCTCCTGAGGGGGAGGCAGCTGTTGATATTTTCACCCCTCCCATTGACAGAATCTCCTGATCTGATGTTTTGAGAAAGGAGGGGGCGGAAACTGCTCTTCTACTCTTCCGCTCCTGACTGACTGCCTGACTCTGTGTGTGGAGACAGTCTTATCTATGTAGTGACCAGATGGCTGAGTGGAAGATGTAACACTCATGCAAGCCAGTAGTTCATTAGTTTGTAGTAGCTATTAGAAATAAAAGGAGTTATGCTTCACAGCTAGCTTCCACGTTATTTATACCCTGCATGAGTCTGGTGCTCACAATGCACATTTGTGGGTCCAGGGCACTGGGACCTGCTTTGCAGGATTGGAAGGTCTCTGAAAGTGCTCCAGTCGCCTAGCCCAGTCAGGACAGAACCAGTTATTAAGCCCAGTCGCTGACATCGGTTGAAAGGCATACTAACAGCGGCGGACGGACTGCCTGCAAGCTCCACACTGCTTTTTCAAGCAGCGCGGGGCTTGCGTCTGCCCGTCGCCCTACAGCTGAGGGGGCGGCTGCAGAGAGGCTCCACACAGTGCGCCCTGCCTTGGCTTGCCCCGCCCCCAGCTGCTGGACACGCATGCTGCCCCGGGCATCCGAGTGGCTAGCAACGTCACTGAACCAAATTGAAAAACAGTAACACAGTACTGTTCTATAATAGTACACAGTAACATCTATAATAAAGACACAAAAAGCCAGCAGCGGCAACAGCAACAACCCCCCAGCCCAAAAGTGTGTTCAGCAGTCTCAGCTTTAATAATAATAATAATAATAATAATAATAATAATAATAATAATATAATTTATTATTTATACCCCGCCCATCTGGCTGGGTCCCCCCAGCCACTCTGGGCGGCTTCCAACAAAACACTAAAATACAATAACCTATTAAACATTAAAAGCTTCCCTAAACAGGGCTGCCTTTAGATGTCTTCTAAAAGTTTGGTAGTTATTTTTCTCTTTGGCATCTGGTGGGAGGCCATTCCACAGGACGGGCGTCATTACCGAGAAGGCCCTCTGCCTGGTTCCCTGTAACTTGGCTTCTCGCAGTCAGGGAACCGCCAGAAGGCCCTCGGCGCTGGACCTCAGTGTCCGGGCAGAACGATGGCGGTGGAGATGCTCCTTTTATAGCTGGAGTCATTCAGGGCCCTGCTCTCCCAGCCCAGGTGGGAAAAGGCCTGCAACGTAGGTCTTCCAAGACTCCGGCCAGCCCTCAGTTTCAATGCAGAAGCCCAGATAAACCAAAGTAATTCAATGTAACCACGTTAACAGTACAGAGGTTGGATTCCAACATGGATATACCTCTAGGAGAAGATCTTATGCCCATAGAAAGTAATCTTGTGATGTGACCCATCCTAGTTCCTGATAGCATCTGCCCCCAACAATAGAAAATGTTATAACAGCCAAATTTGTTGGGGACCATAAAGATGCTTTTTTATACTCCAGGTCATCATTTCTTAGAAATGACAATAAAAGTTTTTGTTTCAAAAACCTTACCTTGCTTGTGATAATGGTGCAGCAATCTAGGGTAGCTCCAGTAGATAAAATCCAAAATAAGCTCCTATGTGCATTATAGCCTCCATATATTACACCTCGTGCATTACTAAGAACGAAAGTAGGTCTCCTTCCACTAAAAGCATGTATTCATAAATCTGTGATCCTTTACCAGAAGAAAGAACACTAACGTCAGGCCAACGTTTCACAAAGTTATGTTTCTGGACCAGCAGAACAGAGAAAGCAAGGCACAACTTTGTAACAGTTTAATGCTGAGTTATTCAATTCCTTCTCTAATGTCACCTAAGGACATTTCTGACCATAAGATCCACAATGTAAATTTTGCTGATGATTCAAAAATAGACTTTGAATATATGAAAAAAAAAAATCTTAGCTCTTAGTTTGGTATATTAAAATTAAATCTGGCCATAAAAGGGCTGCTTATCTGTGGGAATTAACTTTCCCCATTCTTAGACATGTGTTTACTTGGCTTAGAATATTTGACCAGCAAATCTTTTAATAGATCAGCAAATGACCATCTTTGTGTCTGCAGATTAGGCCAAATTGAAGACATTGTGCACTATATCCTTGATTAAAAGTTTATAAAATTCAGCAAGTGATATCTTTTTTTTATTCTATTCATTTCAGAATTTTCTAGAAAGTCAGTCAGTCGTGATTTCAAAATTAGATGGTTGCTGTCACATATAGACAAATTTCTTGCCTATAGGACAGCTTTAGATACCTTTGATGAAAAATGTTACAGTCATAAGACCTAATGAAGACCCCTGCTGGATCAGGCCCAAGGCCCATCTAATCCAACCCCCCTCACAGTGGCCAGCCAGATGCCCATGGGATGCCAGCAAGCTTTGTTCTGACCCAAAAGAGTGTTGAAAGCCAAGAGGGGTTTCATCTTGAATTTCTGAAAATGTACATGTTTAACTTACTTTGGAATTGACTTGTTTGTTTTTATGAGTTTCAGTGTATTGGCGGCTGCTTTCTTTTGGTCAGCAGTCTATGGAACTTTGCTGATAGATGGCCATTTAAAATAAATAAACAGCCATGCTCATGAAATCAATGGCCTTAGGGAATTTAAGGCCATTCATTTCAGTGGTTATACTCTGAGTATGCCTGTTGTCTTTGTCCATGGAGTTTTCTTGGCAGGGATACTGGAGTGGCTTGCCGGTTCCTGCTCCAGGTGGATCACGTTTGGTCAAAACTCTCCACTATGACCTGTCCATCTTGGGTGGCCCTGCACGGCATAGCTCATAGCTTCTCTGAGTTATTCAAGCCCCTTCGCCACAGCAAGGCAGTGATCCAGTCATGAAGCTGAGGCTCCAATACTTTGGCCACCTCATGAGAAGAGAAGACTCCCTGGAAAAGACCCTGATGTCAGGAAAGATGGAGGGCACAAGGAGAAGGGGTCAGCAGAGGACGAGATGGTTGGACAGTGTACTTGGAGCAACAGCATGAGTTTGACCAAACTGCAGGAGGCCTGGCGTGCTCTGCTCCATGGGGTCATGAAGAGTCGGACACTACTAAACGACTAAACAACAACAACTCTGAGTATGATTTAGTTGAATCTTTCCATTATTTATGCTTTTCACATTGTGCTTCCGGGTGTTCAAGTCAACCACTGTTTCCACTAGTATGCAATATGGCTTACACAGGGAACTCATGGACTAAATTAGCGCATATGTGCCTAGCTCCCATACACCAACCTATGGGGCTTTGTCATAAGCATAATGAACAAAGCGAACTCCATACTACAACATCTCAGAACAATTATGATGAAGCTGATTTACACATGCATGTGATTACTTGGGGCTGGTTGACCCCCTATAGGGTCATCTTAGGAGGTTGCAAGGGCTGCTGTCTGGCTTGTGCCTGAGCAGTGGTCATCCAGAGGCAGCATTTATGAGAATTCATGTTCCGTATTGTACTTGCAAACACTATGGTTGGTGCTATAAATGCCTGCACATTCTTCTTGTAGAGGCATTGCTTGACATTCACATAAAGCCCCCATATCTGGTCCCTGGTATTAGAGTACTCACTTTGAATAAACTTTTACTTTTTACTTCTTCTCTTTTTTGCAAAGCAATCTCTTCTGACTCACATCTGTAGAAAATTCTGCTCAGCCTTGCCTGTCACTCTTCTCTAACCTTTGATTATAGCTTTGAGGTTTTTATTCAGAATAAGAAAAGCGGGAGTAGCTCAGGAAAGACGGAGCTCTATGTCACAATTTATAGAATTGATTTTTGTTTCTCAAAAAGGAAACATTAAACCATGTTTGGTTCATGCTATCAGTTTCATTTTAGCTACCAGACCTTAGAAACCACAACTGCTCTCATTGCAGTAAGAGTAATGCAGCATGTTTAACATAACAGAGGGGGGTTTTTTTGTTTGTTTTTAAGGCATTGGAAGGGGAAACTTCTATGAAATTCAGTTTCTATAAGGTTCCTGAGTAACAAGTATCAATGTGGGATGGTCTGAGGGTTTTGTCAGTAACTGGATGGAAGACCACATGGGAACCTATTGTATGCTGTATTTGTATGTATGGTGTATAATGTATTGCATTATTTAAATGCAATAATGGCACATGCCACCTCTGTTCCATCCAGGAAAGTAGCATTGACACTAGTGTTGGGAGGTCACCTCTAAATGTCCTACTACTTTTGTTAAAAGGAAAAAGTCAGGTAAGAATGCCACAGTAACAGAATTAATGCATCTGCTGTGTACTAGATAGCTAAACATGAGCTCATATACATGAAGCACTGTCCATCCCTTGCATCAGACATCTTGCAAAGACGTGTATCTTTTTGCCCAGGCTTTAACTGATTGGGTCCTGTTCTTACTGGCTTTTCTCTTTTTAGAATACCTTAGCTCTTGAGATGAAGGATGAAGTCAAGAAAGCATCCAAAAGAAGAGACATTGTGGTGATGGGTGACTTCAACTGCCCTCACATAGACTGGTTGCGTATGTGTTCCAGTCATGACAAAAGGTAAAAATTCTAGATACTCAAAATGACTGCCCTAGAACAGTTGGTCTTGGAACTGACCAGAGGGGTATCAACCTTGGATTTAATCTTGAATGGTGCCCAGAATGTGATATGAAATATATGTGTTGGGAGCAGTGGTCATAGTGCTATTAAATGAAACAAACATATAAAAGATGGGTGGGGTATAAATAATAAATTCTTCTTCTTCTTCTTCTTCTTCTTCTTCTTCTTCTTCTTCTTCTTCTTCTTCTTCTTCTTCACATTTGACTTCAAAAGACGGATTGGCAACAAGGAAGGGCCCAGGAGCCTTCAAGAGGAAGAACAGCAAGAGCAGAGAGAAAATCTTTCTTACCATCATAAGATAAATGGTAAAGGTGCCATCCCATTTGGTCTTTGGAAGAGAAAGTTGATTGGTTAATACTTTGAGTATGCCTTTGTTGTCAGGATGGCAGCATGGTGTGCAATATTACCCCAGGTGATAGAATTTTTTTTTAAAAAATGGGGGGGGGGAATTAATCTGGGTGTCATGAGGGTTAACTTGCCGAAGCAGTTGGTTGGATTTTGACAACTCTTATCACCTGGTTGATTTCTGATAGTCCTTTTTGATAGTTAGCTGATCAGCCTTCCCCAACCTGTTGCTCTCCAGAGGATTTGGACTACAACTCCTTCCAGTCCTGCTCTGGTTGGGATGATGGGAGTTGTAGTCCAAAACATACGAAGGGCATCCAACTGAGGAAGGCCAAGTTAGAGTTTAATACTTATGCAGAGGCTGGGTGGTATGTGAGAGATTTTTTTCTTTTATGTATTGTTATCAAGGCATTGAAATGTTGATGTGTTACAAATTATTTTGAAATGCTTATTTGCTGTTCTTAATATTTGCTTACCTTTTTATATTGTACTCTTTTTTGCAGAAAGATTGCGTACAAAGTGTTATCTAATCTGGTGCTGACCAAGGACAAAGTGTGGTTTGTAGATCAAGGAGATGGGGATGCACATAATAAAATGTTACAGTTATGACTTTTTAATCTGGTCCTGATGCCAATATCTAGAAACACAAAGTACAATGTTGTAATGTCTCTGCAAGGACAACTGGGTGGGGGAATGAGAAACAGGCAGCAGATTTGAGGGGAAATAAATATCCCTTCCCAAAGTAGCAAGCAAGGATGGCAAATCCCATACTGTTTGCTTCACTGCATACTGAATGCATACTGAATGGCCTCAGGATGCAGAAAGGGCCAGAAGACTAGGTGGTTAAGCGCTAGAGATAAAACTTCCCTTTAGGCATTAGTCTCTTTCTCTTAAGCCTAAAGAAATGGGGTTTTTTTAAATAAAAAAAAATAGCCCAAGATGACAGTATTAGTCCTAGATGCTGATGTGGACCTCCAGGGTTGAGGCAGAGAACTCAGTGGCATTCCAATTATCCACCCACCAAGTCAGTAATTAGGTATATTTGATCATACCAAAATAAAAACTGGAGTTCAAGTGTATACACACACACACGCATACACGGCTTAATGGATTCTCTTACTTGCCTTGTCAGATTTATTGTTTCGGCACAACAATTCCCCTAGCAGATTAAGAAGCCTCGGAGGCTCTTGCTCCAGCTAAGCAGTGACTCTTACTGTAAGCTTCTTATTCTCAGTGTTTCTTTCTGCCTTCCGTGCTGTCCCCATGATTAGAAAATAAGTATGTTCTATCTTTCAGTACATCTGTCACTTTAAGTCACTCAGCATATCTCAAACAGAGCCCATTGCACCAACACTTTGGATATCAATTCCAGATTCTTCCTAGGGGCTTTTAGCCAAGTTTGCAAAGGGCAGCTATGAAGAAATGCGAAAGATACCTTTCTGATTTACTTGTTTGTTTGTTTGTTTGTTTGTTTTGCTAACATCAGGTAAACAAGGGGGGAATGCAGATTTAGGTGGTTTCTTCAGCCTTTTGGTGCAAAGGTCTGGAAAGAGGTGCCAGGCAATCCCATTATTGAAATTACAAGTAACACTAGATGAAACTGTTCAGCCAAGCAAAATATGCTACCTTATGGAAAAACTCAGCATCTCTCTTCATTTGGTAATACAAGGAGGCTATTAGTTTGAGGGAAATGAGACAGGACCCCATCTACAAGTATCCAGGAATTTCTGCAAGACAGCTAGATTATTGGAACAGTTCACCAATTAGGCTTGATAAGAAAGGCAAGGCATATGTTTGTGTTTTTGTTTGTATATCAGGGAACAGGATAAATTCTTTTTCTAAAAATGTTAATGTTGGCCGTGGTGGGGATAACTTCCATGATAAGTGGTGGAGGAGGCAGTAAGAACTGGAAGCCAGTGTGGTGTAGTGGTTAAGAGTGGTAGTCTCGTAATCTGGGGAACCGGGTTTGCATCTCCGCTCCTCCACATGCAGCTGCTGGATGACCTTGGGCTAGTCACACTTCTCTGAAGTCTCTCAGCCTCACTCACCTCACAGAGTGTTTGTTGTGGGGGAGGAAGGGAAAAGGAGATTGTTAGCCGCTTTGAGACTCCTTAGGGTAGTGATAAAGTGGGATATCCAATCCAAACTGTTCTTCTTCTTTCTGGAACTTTATTTAAACATACTGAAATTGGTGGCCTGTAATCCTTTGCAATGCTTTTGTTTGAGTGAAGCTGATATGTTGAGGTATTTCAGAAGCATTGTTGGCCGGGAGGAGAGAGAAAGATGGCAGCCCAGAGGAGTAGATGGTGGAAGCATTCGTGTCCTTGATGACAGCCAAAGTGTTCCTCTTCCATTTCCAGATTTATATAGATGATATAGACAAAGATAGACAGATAGATAATACACACCCATATTATCAAATGGCTCTCTCTTACCTGCTTTTGACTTAAAACAGAAATACAGTTCTGCTTCTCATGCTAAACTACCTACTGGTACTTTAATGCTACAGACCTAAGCTCCCTTATCTGGAAGTAAATCCCACGGAAAGCACTTTCACTCCCTCCTTTGCAAGCTGCAAAGCTGGTGCAGCATTTTTGGCTTGTATATCAGAGACCAGGATAATTTTAGGAAGGTGGCCAGGAAGGGAGGAAAAGAACAGTAACAGCAATCGTGGAGAAAGCTCTCTATAGTTTTTGCACCATCGTAGCCATTCATATCTGTGATGCTGTGAGAAGGGCCTCTCCCACGGATTGTAAACTCTGTTGATGGCCAGAGTGTGTGTGCCTAGTGTTTGCAGCCTCAATAAAGGGGCAGGATGGTCCCCTGCTCTCCTCCTTGCCATTAGCACAGTGGGCCAGATCCGTATCTCCAGACACACCTTGCAACCCAAGTTTGACAGATGGGCAGGGCCACCTACCTTGCAATCACCTGACCTCAGACTGACATCAGGTGGCCTGTTTTTGCCCAGTTTGAAATCAAATTATGTGGGCAAAAGTATGTGTGCAGTGCTTCTATAGTGCCAACAATCAACTGAATGTCAGCTCTGGGACAGCCCTGTATGCAGCAGTGACCAAGCACCAATCATCAGCTGATAAGTCCACACTTGGGAAGCACTACACAAAGGCCCTTTCATCCAAATGTTCCTTACCTGTCCCACACCTGATGTCATAGGGTTGGTAGACATGGCTTGACCAAAGCAGCCTCATGGCCCAAATGGAGAGACTTGGTGGGCCTAATACAGCCCACAGAATTAAGGTTCTGTACCCTTTCGGCAACATTCTTGAAAGTGCCTAAAGAGGGCTATGTGGTACCTGGCTGTTGTCAAACACACAGAGACACAGACCAAACTTTCCAAGAGTAGAAAATGTGCTAAAATGGATGGTTCATGTACAGAAGTCTCTCTCTGTTCCTTTAGAATTATTATTCAGTCAGGCAAAGATCTAGGCCAGTCCTTGTGTGAAGTCAGCTCAAGTTTTGTTTTCCAATCCAGGTGTGAGGTAGATGTAATGAAATGATGCAGTAACTGCAGACCCACAGCTGTGCAGATGAACTTAAGTCCTATTTGAATTCAGTGGGGGAGAGATCAATGTCCCTCAATGGAGGGTGCTTTAATTGGACCAGATTTCCCCCATTGCTTTTGGCACATTTGCTCTGAGTGTTGGACTATTCTTTAGCATTGTTGATTCTGAGATCAGACTTAAGCACTGGAATATATTTTAAAAGCTGTAGATCTTCAGACAGATATTAAGTGCCTCTTTTCTTAAAGTGCATCAAGCTCTTATCAGGCGATCAGCAGAAGAGTGGTATCTCACTTGCTTACCCATTCATGCAGTTCCTGGCAAGCGAGCCCCTATTCTGCTTCTCTGGAATGCAATCTAGCAGGAATTGAAGAACCCATTAGAGAAGGAGAGGCAGCAACAGGATTCTACATTAGCCAACCCTTTTCTCTGCAGGCAGACTGAGCTCTTTTCTCCTTGTCTAGCACACACATTTTGCAACAGTTTAAAAGAAGGTGCAAAGAAGCAGTAAGGGGGGGAAGCCTTTGAAGAATAAGGAACTGGAAGATGAAACGCAAGACTACCTCCTCATCTGCACCTCTCCTTTATCACTCTGTGCTTGTGCATATATTTATAGTGGGGTGGCAGATTGGGTGAGGACTTCAAGGTTTCCATTGTGCAACATGGAAACTCAGAGTCTCAAATGATCAAAGTTCATCTTTAACACGTGTCTCTCTGCAATGCACCCACAGGGCTTTTTTTTTCCTTCTTTTTTTTTTTAAGGATTAGGCTCTTATATAATCATATGTATTTTGCCTCCAGGAAGATGTATTACTTCCTACGCATTACAACTCTTGCCCACCAGGATTTGTATATGTATGAAGAAGGAGAAGAAGAAGAGTTTGGATTTGATATCCCGCTTTATCACTACCCAAAGGAGTCTCAAAGCAGCTAACATTCTCCTTTCCCTTCCTCCCCCACAACAAACACTCTGTGAGGTGAGTGGGGCTGAGAGACTTCAGAGAAGTGTGACTGGCCCAAGGTCATCCAGCAGCTGCATGTGGAGGAGCGGAGACACGAACCCGGTTCACCAGATTACGAGTCTACCGCTCTTAACCACTACACCGCACAGGCGCTCATGAACCTGCCATGACTGAACTCTGTTGATTATGATGGGACTTTCGTGTGCGTAAACCAGGTGCAGCATTTTGTCTTACCTGAGCAATGTGCACACATAAAGATCCTGCATGTCCATCAAAGGTAGTCACTGTACAAAGTTTATTTGGTTTGTTTATGGTCCCATCTGCACTGGGCACCACAATTCCACTTTAAACAGTCCTGGCTTCCCCCAAAGGAACGGTAGTTTGTTTAGGATGCTGAAAGTTCATGGTTACTTTTATTCCTCTCTTTTTTAAAACATTTTTTATTAAGTTTCCATTTTATCACATTTAAACACATCCTTATTATACTCCTTACATATTTGCTCAATCAAGCTTCGACTTCCCTCCCTCCCGGCTCATGGTTTTCATAGTTCCTTATTACTTCATAGCATTTATACGTTTTCCAATTTATGTTTCACTCCCTCCATTTATCGCAAATTTTTAAATGAACATAAAAAGGTACAAATCATTAACATTTCAAATTTTCTTACAACAACCCTGCTGACGTTGTTAATTGTTTACAATTGTCCTTCAGATATTGTACCAATTTACTGCAGTCTTTTTGGAAAGCTTGATCATGCTGGTTTCAGATTTTCCCAGTCAGCTTTGCCAATTCTGCATAGTCTATCATCTTCATCTGCCACTCTTCTAACGATGGAATTTCCTGTTGCTTCCATTTTGGGGCTAAAAGAGTTCTTGCTGCTGTTATCGCGTACATAAACAGTTTTATCTTTGGAATCTCTTTCCCTACTATTCCTAACAGAAAGGCCTCTGGTTTTTTCACAAAGGTACTTTTAAACATTTTCTTTAACTCATTATATATCATTTCCCAGTGAGCTTTTACCTTACTACAAGTCCACCACATGTGGTAAAAATTTCCCTCCTTTTCTTAACATTTCCAACATTCCTTATTTCTTGTCTTATACATTTTGGCTAATTTAGTTGGCGTTAAATACCATCTGTATGTCTTTTATTCCTCTCAATTCCCGTAGTTACATGGGAAGAGGGACTGGTTGTTAAACTTATATTTTCATTTGATTGCAGTGATGTGAGAGCCAGAAAATGAACAGTTTAGCCACCAGGCTCTAGACTGCATTTTGCCACTATGGGGACATTGTGAGTCAGCAGTAAAGAGAACAGGAGATAATGTATCATTTTAACATGGAAACTAGCTATAGGTTCATAGAACTGCTGGAGGGTGCTTGGAGGCCATCCAGCCTATCCCCTTGCTCAGTACTAGAACCAATCAGCAATGCAGCTGCAGCATCCTTGACAGATGGCTGTCTAGCTTCAGCTTAGATTACCTGCAGCTAAAGAGCACCCAGCATCTCCCAAGACAGTCTGTGTCACTCTCAAAAGCTCTTGACATTAAGAAGTTACTCCTAATGCTTCACAGAAATCTGCTTCCTTGCGATTTTAATCCACCAGTCCTTGCCCTGCTTTCTGTCTGGAGCAACAGAAAAATAAATGTGCTCCATCTTCTGCATGGCAGCACATATTTGAAGACTATTATCATGTCTCTCCGTAATCTACTCTGGACTGAACATACTTGGCTCTTTCAGCCATTCATCAACCATATGACTTGGTTTGCAGACCTCTCCAGTGGTCATGCTCAACTTTGTCAATGCCCATTTTCAAATGTGTTGGCCAGGGACAAGAAAGGACAACAGGCTCTGCTTTGATTAGAGATGGCAGGTGATAAAATTACACAATGCAATTGCAGGGTAATTTGTCTCAAAGTAAAGCACAACTTTCGACATTTTACTTAAAGGATGTCAGTGTGGCAGTTTCTCAGGCTGCTTTTTAGGCATTTGAAAATTAAACTTTGGGGGGAGGCAGGCAGAGAGTGAATGTACTTGCAGCTTCATTTTTCATGTAAATGTAGCTGTCACGTGACAGTCAATCGAATACTATAGCCACTGGTTGTCTGCTTATGGTTATCACATACTCTCCTCCAATAAAAATTTGCTTAGCACCAAAAATTATCACATCCAGATGGCAAAAAATAAATTAAAAATCAAATGCTCAAAGAGGATGAGAACCAGTCATGCAACAACTCTACTTACATTTTGCAAATGGCATACTTACTTTCATCCATCAGCAGTGGGGAGGCATTCTGAGGCATAACAAACTGCTTTTGCAGATTACAAGGTGGCAGGGTTATTTTTCAAACAAGTACTCAAGAGAATAAAAAGGGACTGGATCTATTTCCAGCATGCTTAGGTGTTTGCAGTGCTGCAATTCAAAGATGCCCTTAGGTTTCTGACAGAAAGAATTTGTTGGAAAGCTCAGGTTCTGTTCCTTGACTATCCCTGTCTCTTCTAGTTACAGACAATCCTTATTTAGGCAATATTAAAATTAGGAGAGTAAGACAAATCTGCAGATTTGGGAATCTGGGTTAATCTTATTAAGCAAAGGATTTACCACAGAGCTGCATGTTCAATACTGACATCTTTAGTTTAGTTCACCATAGACATTGAAACACTTGTAAATCTCTAATTTTGCATGTTGTACATTTACATTGTTTCAAAACAGGACAATTAAGAATCTTTGATGTAGAAAACATAAAATTCTCTCAAATACCCTTAAAATATACATTGGTGATTTTATGAGGGAAGGTGCAAAGGAATAAATGACCTTGTTATTTCTTACTCTTCTTTATATCTGCTTTGAGCTAAAAAGTGATTTGTGTTTATGCATCCGTTGGATCAGGTATGATCATTGCAGGTATTATTATCAGACATAATTAGTTAGGAACATGGGAAGCTGCTGCATACTGAGTCAGACCATTGATCCATCTAGCTGCTTTGCTTCCACAGTTGGATGCAGTAATGCTTCTGAATACCAGTTGCAGTAAACCGAAGGGTTAATAATCATAATAATAATAATAATAATAATAATAATAATTTATTTATTCAGACCTCACCCATTTGGATGGGTTTCCCCAGCCACTCTGGGCAGCTCCCAACAGAATATTAACAATAATAAAAAAGCAATAAAACATCAAACATTAAAAACTACCCTAAACAGGGCTGCCTTCAGATATCTTCTAAAAGTCAGGTGGTTGTTTATTTCCTTGATATCTGATGGGAGGGCATTCTACAGGGTGGGCACCACTACCGAGAAGGCCCTCTGCCTGGTTTCCTGTAGCTTCACTTCTTGCAGTGAGGGAACCACCAGAAGGCCCTTGGAACTGAACCTCAGTGTCTGGGCTGAACGATGGGGGTGGAGACGCTCCTTCAGGTTTCTTGTGCTTGAATGCTGCTTCTTAATTTCCCATAGGCATCTAGCTGGCCAATGAGAAATCAAAATGCTGGACTAGCTGGACCATTGGCCTGATCCAGCAGGCTTCTCTTAAGTTCCTTTGTTAACTCCATTTTCTATACCAAAGATGGGGAATATGTGGACCTACAGATGTTGTTGGGATACATTCCCCATCATCCATGACCATTTGGAGCCCAACAGCATCTGACCTCAGGTTCCGCATCCATGATGTACACTGACTGGCAGCAGCTCCCCTTCTGAGTGTTAGGGACCAGGAAATAGATTCCTCATCGAGTGCCGGAGCAGAGGAGTCCAAACCAGAAGGAACAGGGAATGTAAGGCAAGTTCCATATGTGCTGCTACCCAATGAGTCTGAAGGGCCAGTGTCCCCTCCAGCCAGACAATATGGCACTGCTGTCCTCAGACTTGGCTGACATCACTGAAGACCCAGCAAGAAGCTTCTCTGCTTTGTTGCAGTAGAAGATTTTGGAGCGTGCTGGGCCCCTTTAATCAGAGCAACACCATCCAGCACAGGTGCGTCTGACCATTGGGATGCAGCTGTCGCTGCTACTATACAGGGTTGAGGCTTAGTTTGCTCCTTACTGGTGTGCTGCATCCTTAGACCACAGCCTGAGCCTTGTATTCAACCTGAACCTGGCTCTACCTTGCCTCAGTTGGCCCTGTATCTAGCCTGAACCTCACCCTGCACCAAGCCTGAATTCTGCCTTTACCCCAGAGCAGGACCCTGGCAGAGTTCTTTGCCATCCTTATCTGGAGATGTTGAGAATTGAATCTGGTGCCAGCCATCTGCAGGAATCATACACTTCTTGGTGGATCACAATGAAGCACTTTCAGGGCTATGCCCCTAGGGCAGGGGTGAGTGAGCCACTTGTGCACAGACTGTTCTTTTCATTTTAACCTGCAGCCTCCATATTTCATCAGTGTATTTCAAAATGCGCAGAGTCTGAGGCTTTTCTAATTTGTGTCAAGTGACCTTATTTAGCCTGTTCAAGAACATAAGTTGGCTAAGGAAGGGCCCTTAAGCGTATGCTATGATTGCATATGAGATAAGACTTGCTTCAGATATAAGCGCAGCAGACTTCTGATCCTGGAAGTGATATTTTTGAAACTTTGCACAGTAGCATTTTTTATGCTTTCCTCAACCACTTTCTTGATTATAAAGAGATTAACAAAAGAGGTATTAAATTAAGTGGCAGTGTAAAATGTGACTTCTCCCAAAATAAACAAAAATTGGCAAAAAAGGGGGGCTTTGCAATCATCTAAATGGAAAGCCAGACAACATTTACAGCTGTGCTGATTTGGAAAAATGTTGCCACATGAGTTGTTTTTCTAACCCATGCCACTCCTGGCTCTGTCCCTATTCCAACTTTGTGTGTTTTTTTTCCAACCAGACTAAATGGACACAACTGGTATGAAATTCTAAATAACCAAAGAATGCTGAAGAAACAATATATATCAATAAGCATAGTATTTTTTTCTTCCAGTAGTCTCTTATATATGTGTGTATGTGTGCTCCATGCAGCACAGAGCATATTAACTTGGATGAATTTTAAAGAAAAGAGTCTTGCTGGATCAGACCAAAGAGCCATCTAGTCTGGAATCATGTTCTCACAGTGGTCAGTCAGATGTCTACGATGAGCACAACAGCAGTCTTGCCAGCAATATTCAGAGACATGCTGCCTCCAACAGGCTAGTAGTCATTGATAACTTTATCTTTCCTGAATTTGTCTAATCTCTAGCTTGCAGAAGAGGGGTTTCACATGGTTTAAAACAGACAAAGTTAGGAACTTCCAGATTCCCAGACTACCCCTGTATCTTTAACCTATCAACTTACTTCTCTATCTTGTTGATGTTAGACTGATATTCTCATGTGACATTCTGCTTACTACATCTTCCTCCTTCTCACACTTCTCTCTCGGACCTCAAGATGAGAGGTCTCAATATGATATTTAACTATCCTCTGAGAGAGCAAAGGAGCAAACCTGGTTGCCTTGTTCTTCTGTAGATTAGTTAGTTAGACTGGAACTAGAAACTTTTCTATGCAAGTTATGTATTTCCTAAAATCATTTCTTTTATTCTCTTTCCTACAAACATCTCTCTCTGTATATGACTGCAGCTTAAACACTGCTCACTCTGCAGAACAAATGGAGTTTCAGTAGGAAATTGATCCTGTTATCATGTTAGTTGCTATAATTTTAATATAAACACACACACACATGTGCGCATGCACACACGCAGAGTATATAGTAGGGAAGACTGTGATCAAGTGACCTTTGGGCCTTCTGAGTCTGCTGCCTGGGGTCTATGAATTAGCTGCTAATTTTTGATGGGCAACTTCAAAGCTTTTTCTCTCCCTTATTGGTTTCTTTCTTTAATTAAAAAAAACTGGATTTGGATTGGGCAGCCCTTCAAAAAGAGGCTTCCTTCAATTAGAGGGCTGTCCTCTGTTAAGCAGGACACATGGCTGCCCTCTTCCAATTTTGCACATTGATTTGGCTGCAGTTTTTTTAAAAAAACCACTTCATTAAATGTCACAAGATATACCTTGCATAAGAGTCATTTTTTAATTAGATCTCCCGAATGACACGTTAATCCCAACCCCTAATTACATATTTGCAAAAGTATGGATGGGAAAGAACTCAGTGAACGTAAGTTTCTTTCAATGAATAGCCTGAGGAGTTTAGGTTTTCAAATATTAACAGATTGTAAAACTCCATTTCAGCATCTCTGAACTTGCTGGAGTGTTGCAAAATACAAGTAAATATGCACTTACTGAGACAAGAACAACATTCAATGTCTTCATCTATGACTAAAGCAAACATGAATTAGTATCTTCATTGTCAATCATTATTTTATTAAGTGCCAAATGAAAGCTCAGCACAAGAGCACAAGAGCAGATAAATACTTTGAAAAAAGTTCATCTTCAGATATGCTGGGCCCAGATAACGTTGGACTGTTAAAGGGAATGCCAGTTCCTTAACTTGGACCTTTAAACCCACTTGATAGCCCAAGCAATGGCTTGATTACTAGAGTGTTGTGTTCTTTTCAGGCAGCAACAGGCAGAAGTCTGGACCTGTTGTAATTTCCAGACAGTTTTCAAAAGTGAGTCCACATGCAGCGCATTCCAGTGGCTATTGGAACTGAAGCTGTTTCCTCCAATTTGCTCATTTGCATAATTATAAGAAGCAGTCTTTTTAAGAAGTGCAATTTGCACACTAAACGCCCAAAGTTCCCCACTAAGAGGAATGCTGTGGTAGAAACTGTAGAGATTTAGAAATATCAAAAGCTCTAAAAGCTTTTCCCCATGGTGGGGGCGAGGAACACTGCAATTTAGTCAACAATTCTTTTGAACTGTAGCTCTTAAACAATAGCTTTTGCAACATACTGTGATCTGCGGAAATATTTAGAGGAACAGAGGGTGGGCGGGAATTCATATCTATAAACCAGGGTTTTCACCTATCTCCTTCCCTAAATGGTCAGAAGAAACCCCAGAACAGGGGAGGAGGGAAAAGAGAGAAAGGAGATTATCCTGTCAGATGAGCAGAAATGCTTGCCCTGAAGGAACAATCTCCTTAGTATGGCACTGGAAGCACAGACCAAACTTCCATGGCAACTTATTCTATTGACTTCTATTGACTTCAATAGAATACTTCTTTCAGTTGCAACAAAAAAAATTATAGAATGGAAAATTTCCATATGCTGGATATCCAAATTTGGGGCAAATAATTTTTGGTGTGAGAACCCCAACAGAGTTTTAAAGTCGCAAAAATATGCAGCCAAATAAAGCATGGAAATATAGTCTGTTAGACCTTTAAAATATGCCCTTTAAAGTGAGTTCCAAAATGTGCCCTTAAAAAGTTTCTTTCAAAGTTTTACTCTTCCCCCAGAATAGGAAAAGACCACATGTTTGGTAAGTTAAAAATTGGTTTGCTTGCAAATTCTCCATAGGTCAGATTTGTGTGCATCAGAAAGTTGCACAGGCAGTAGAACTTGACTTTGCAAAGTGGGGAAGCTTCCTAAATTATTGGTATAGCAACACAAGAATGGCGTGGTAGAGCTGGAACAACCAGCACAAACCTCTTCACATGCTGAGCTTCTCTGGTAGACTGGGGCATAAGAAAGTATTGATTACCTAGTTCTTCCCAATGTGAGGGGAAGTGGATATAGCCTGGCAGGACAGCTTACTCTATGGTATTAACCCCTTCACGTGCTAATTAGACTTTAGCAGGTTGGTTATATGAGGCTGGTTATCCCACATTTTCAAGCCTAACTTTAGTGGGGAGAGAGGTCTCTGTGAGCACCAGATAATTTCCCTATGGGTACAGGTGTGCCTGCAGGTGCCCTGCTGGCAACCCTACAAGAGTTCCATTATTCAGATCTCCAGCTAGCTGGAACTGGAACCTTATAGCACTCTTCAAGCTTGGTCTCCTGGAGAAGTGAATGGACAGAGAAGGAGGAGGTGATGATGGAGTACTAAAGAGCTCATATTTGGGACTGGTAGGCAGCCTTGATTTGACCAAACTGCGGGAGGCAGTGGAAGACAGAAGTGCCTGGTGTGCTCTGCTCCATGGGGTCACAAAGAGTCGGACATGACTAAACAACTAAACAACAACAAAGGCAGCCTTGAATCTGAGCATTTATAGTGATACGGTGTGTGGCATTGTTCTGGAGAGTGAGAAATGGAAAGTTTTAAATAAAATCTTTCTTCAGGTATATTATTGCATAGTGCCAGGGGTGAGGTTTTTAATCTCTTGGCAGGCCTGCCCCCAACCATAATCCCTGCCACCAGGATATTTACTATAAGCAATTATGGACTTAAGCAAGCCAATTACCTCTTTTCTATCCACCCCACTTTCTTTCCCTGTCTCTGGTTTCTTTTTCTGTCTTTTTCTCAGCTGTCACCTTGACATTCCATACATTCTAGGAGCTCACATGTCCTCATCATGTTTACGGTGTGTGCACAAATTAAATACATCTTTTAATTTGCAAACATATACTTCTGCATACTGAGAGAGTCCCTGAGTATGTCGAAACCAGTCCCTTGTTTTCGGATGGCCATGCTTTGCTTATGAACTGATCAGCCCTCCAAGTTTATTACTGCAGAGAAGTGATAGTTATATTGTGATTATACTTAAGTATAAACATTCTAGTAATATTGTGTTGCTCTTCCTGCTTGTATCTACATTCTATGCATATGTACTCGCTTTCATTTGCAAGTTGTCTGAGCTCCGGAGGATATGAGAGACTGCTGATGGGGGCAAATCACAATCACCAGCAGACAGAGGAGTCGACTTGGGCCCCAGGTTATAGGTGCCCAGTGAGTGTGGCATCATGTTGTGACATGATGCCATGATGTTGCATGCCCCCCCCAAGCCTCAGAAACTGACTTCCAGTAGCACTCAGCAATGTGCCCCTGCCAGCAGGTAATTCCAGTACTCAGAAGCTAGCTCTGGTTACCCAGATTCAAGGTTCTTGTATTAATTCACAAGGCCCTTAACAACTTGGGTCCAGAATACCTCAAGGACCATCATATTCATTATATCCCTGACCAGTCATTGAGGTCTTTGGGGGAGCCACTGCTGATGGCTCCCCATGTCTCAGATGCATGGCTCACCAAAAGTTGTGCTAATATTATTGGCATCCCTTTCAGTTGAAGTCAGGCAGATTGAACGTCCAAGTTGTTGTTTTTTAAAAAAATCCAGTAGGCATTTTAATTGAATTCTGAATTTATAGTTTTAACTGGATCCTCTTCTTTTTTTTCTTTTAATTACCTGCACACCACTTTGAAACAATTGTTATTAAGTAATGTATAAATTGCTGAAAATAAGAATGATATATAATCTCTGACCTTTGGCTCTGCTGGCTAGAGGAGTTGTAGTCCAAAACATGCAGGGCACCAGGCTGGGGAAGACTAATTCTAGCACACTTTAGAGGCTACATAAATAATGTATAACCACAATGTTCATCTTTCAATACTGGAAGCTCAGGAGGGATTCCACCCATATAATTAAAAAGTTGGGGGGGGGTTAACAATAATTTCTCCACCTCTTTTTTTTTAAGAGAACATCTGTGTATTAGCCTTTGTTCTGCAGCAGTGGTGTACTTTAAAAAGAACACACTGAGAATTCTATTTTACATTCTCTTCTGAACATTTCTGTTTCTTAGTTTCCTGCTGCTCCAAAGACAGAAGCAGACTTCATCAGGCACTAAGTTCGGGTTGCTAACAACCAACTCGGATGTCTTTGGCAGTTCTCCAAAAGCAGTAATTGTTCCATATCCCTGTATGCAAGACTACAGTTGTCGTTAGCACTCTTAATATTTTTGGACGGAAGGTAAATTTGTATTGTCTCCCCATACTAATTAGAAGTCAGATCTTATTCTTTTGAAAAAAAGAACAACCACAAAAACTGGAAATACAAATAAAAGCCGGAAGATCAAAGCCTTCACATTGGTGCCTGGTTACTGATATTATACTGTATGTGTCAGAGAGAAGCATGTGACACTCACTGATGTGGTATGATGGCATGATAAGTTGGGGGATGCAGAGGTACTGGGCATAGGGAAGCTAAGGGGCAGAGGACACAAAGAATAGGAAATTAACTGAGAAAGGTAGATATCAATGTCAGAACCTGGAGGAAAGGTAGATATCAATGTCAGGAGTTCAGCCTGCACTCGAATAGGACCCTGACAGAGACACATGCTGACTGGCATGTTCCCTCCCTCCTGGTCGATCGATCGGGAGTTTCAAAAGCTTTCTTCAGCCTGAACATCACAGTGACCGATGCCAACCGACACTGGCACACTTAGGGATCCGCAGAGTTTGTGCAACTTGCATAACAGACCTCAGCAACTCAGCATTTTGGCTAATCTACTTTATTTACATATAAACACACACGGAGCACTGCAACATGCTCCCTCTCTCTCTAGCATCAGACAGCAAAGAGAAAAAGAACAAAGGACAATAGTCCCACTTCACGGAACACAGTAACACAAACATCCTGTCTCTGTCACTTCCCACTCTGTGGAATGAAAACATACACAGTCGTGTGATAGACAACAATCCCATGACTGTAGACACGGGGAATGAATCTTCAACAATCAATGCTTAAGGAAAAGGCTAGAGGAAAGGGGGGGTGGAGGCAGGAATTGCCTATTGAGAGGGTGGATTCAGAGTTTAGTTGAGGAGTGCCTGATGGAGAGAACAGTCTCAGTGAAGTTGGGTTAGGAGACAGAATGAAATAAGGAAGAGGGGGGAATAGGCATTGACCTGAAAAGAAGTGATACAAGGAGCATGAGCGCATCCTGTTCTCATAGTGGCCAACTAGATGCCTAACAGGAAACAATGAGTGATGGAGTTTAAGAAAGAAGGGATGAGGGAATGAAATAAAACTTGTGTCATTCAGAATGACCTCAGCTTTGTACAACAATGCGACCGTGTGCCCCTGAGAGAAGCTCAGAGAATCACTCTTCCTTCTTTTAAAATTTGTTTGCCAGTGTAATTTATAAAGCTATTAATATCATTAAGCATTTGTACCTTACACAAACACAGAGATCATGTAATGGAGAGCTAGAGAGACAAGATAACAAACATAAGCACAAATGTTGCCTAAGCATTTGTACCTTACACAAACACAGAGATCATGTAATGGAGAGCTAGAGAGACAAGATAACAAACATAAGCATAAATGCTGCCTAAATAAAACAGAGTTCAAAGGAATACAGATTTTAGCACACTGGATGTGATAAAAGGTAAAGGTAAAGGGGCCCCTGACCATTAGGTCCAGTCGTGGCCAGCTCTGGGGTTGCGACACTCATCTAGCTTTATTGGCCGAGGGAGCAGGCGTACAGCTTCCAGGTCATGTGGCCAGCATGACTAAGCCACTTCTGGCAAACCAGAGCAGTGCACAGAAACGCCGTTTACCTTCCCGCCAGAGCGGTACCTATTTATCTACTTGCACTTTGACGTGCTTTCGAACTGCTAGGTTGACAGGAGACTGGATGTGATAGTAACTCCAAAAGAAAAGCAATGACCAGAGTACTATTCACAGGAGCCAACTCAAAGGGGCTTTGGGGGCTTTGGCCCTGCAATAAAATATTTGACACACACCCCCAAGTTGATGGGCATTGCCATTCAAATGGTGTGCATGCATCATGTAATGTGATCGATTATGCAGGGCAGGGCTTAGCTCCCCTCCAAAAAATATTTTATTCAAGTTGGTACCCCTGGTATAATGGCCTGGATTCAAAAACACGGTTGCCAAGTCCATACTTTTTAAAAAATGAAATTGATACTGTTAAATATTGCTGGTGCTTGCATAGAAACTAATCTGCTTGAATGATGAGTGAACAGAGCTTGCCTCAAAGTTCAGCGATTGCAAAATTCTCCACCATCCTTATTCTCCATGCATTTCTGAGAAGGACTGAGCCAGGAGCTGACTCCAAACCCATGAGAATTTCTTCTTCTTCTTCTTTTTCAGTTCATTTGAAAGGTTTTGTAATATGCCCCAAAGAAAGGCCCTGCTTTCTTTACAGTTGGGGGAGCAGGGGAGAAGTAGCAACCAATGATTTCAACAGCATTTATAGATGCTGCAAGACTTGGATTGCTCACATAAAATACTTGCCAGTAAATAAATGGAGGCTTATTTATTCTCTGCCCTTCTCAGCTGTAACTCCTATTATACAGTACAGAGAGAAAAGCAATAGGCTGAGAATGAAATGTGCCTGAAAATATTTCTTCACTCGCCTCAGCTTTTACTTGCTCAACAGCCACTTCAAAGAAACACTGACAGACCAGCCTAAATAGAGCGGTTGGAAGGAAAAACGGCTGGAATCATGTGTGTGGTATTTTTTTCTCCCCCTTAATCCGCCACCACAGCTGGATTTCTCTTTGAATTATTGCACCAAATTCCCAAACCACTTTTTTATACTTGCAAGAGCCTTCAATAGATGTTTTGGGAGCTCTGTAGGAGCAGCTTCTGAAAAAGTAAACTCTGAAAAAACTTTGGGTTCATGGCAGCCCTTTTGGATTGCGGTCATTATATTATAATGCTCTCTTTCATTTTGCTACAAATGCCTCTGCTTCTAACTCAACCGAAACTCATTAATGCATGCTTTTATTGTTTGGATAATGTACAGTGGGGAAAATAACGCCTTTAATTTAAACAACAGGAGCTTGTGGGGTTGTTGTTTTTCCACTGCATTGTCCTTGTGGCTAACGAATCATTTTTTTTTAAGTCAAAACATTATTAAGAATTCATCAGTTGAGGGGAAAACTTTTTTTAAAAAAAGGTTCACATGGATTTCTCCAGCACAGACTCTGAATGTAGAAGAACTGGAAGTTGTACTCTAAAAGATCTCTAAGGTACTGAATTTATTTTATTTTTGACCTATGCTGGGATGCCATTCCATTAAAAAGTATCTCAGGGTGGCATACCATTAAAAAAAACAGTAAAAAAAAGCACTGCAAAAATTAGACTTCAGAAGTAGCAATTAAATTCAGCAGAACAGATAAAGCCATGATCAAGACTAGCTCATGGTATGTGCTGAAGTGCCAGGGCAAAGAAAAAGGATGCTTGCCTGATACTAAAATGACCTCAGAGTTGGCAAATCTGAGCTTTCTTTGAGGAAGGCACAGATAGGTAAGAGCAAGGGGGGATTAAACCAGGTACTATGGCACCAGGTCCCATGTGCCTAACCCAACTTTTCCGCAAGGGAAGCTGTCAGGCAGAGGTCTCACCCCAATTTGTGCTGCCCCTGCATGGCCAGAGGAGAAGGTGTTGCACCTAAACCCAGCCCGATCGGGTCTGGGTTGCTCTGTGTAACCACTGGTCCACACTTGGTTCATCAGTGTGCAGTGAGTAGCCACACAGACTCCCTTACTTTGCTTTTCCTTGCCTTACCCAGAAAGCCAGCACTGCCTTTGACAATTGCCATCCATCCCAAGCCTTTCAAGGAGCCTCTGCTGGATCAGAGCCATGCATTTTAACTGCAACATGTGTCGGGTTTTTTCTTTCCATTATCAGCCCCAAGGATCCTCAGATTCTCAAAGGGATTGGATCCTTACTCTGGGAGCTTGGATACCCCTACAGGTATGTGTATTTTCCCTCACTCACTCTCCCTTTGCTCCACCTTCCCACCCTCCTCCTGGTTTGCAACTAGGATTAAGAGCCCTTACTCTACTTACTGTAGTTCCTCTTTCAGGACTGCTCCGCCATCACGGTTTCCTCAGAGGCAATGCTATCCCCTCTTGGGTTCCCTCTGTTTCACCCTTTCCTTTCTCCTTTCCTATTTCTTCCTCAATTTTCTCTTTCCCTAATGCTTGTTCCCCCTTTTTGCTCCCTACTGCTTGTATTCCACGGGCTCAGCAATGACATTCCTTTTGTCACTTCCTGTAGGAGTGCCACAAGGTTTCAAATACCATAGCCTCACCCCACAGCTTCATTTCTGGCCTAGAGGGCAGGTACACTTTCTATGCTCTTCCCAACAATTAGCTTTATAAAAACAATATGGATAAAATCCAATACATAGCAGCAGGTCACACCAAATAAGGCAAGCAAAAAACACCCCACACCCCTTTCTGTCATTAGCAAAACGTGATGCCGCTCTCTATTCAGGTTAGAATAGAATTCAGAAGTAACCGGCCCGTGTCGGCTGTTGCCATAATAAAATGGTAAAATAAATAATTGAAGCCATGTCCTGTGCAGTCGACAGTGAGAAGTGAAAGGGCTTGCGGGGAACTCTCAGGAGAATCCAGCCATGCCAAAAGAGAACTCAGAGAGGATGAGGCATATGTTGTATGCCTCGTTTGAACTCGAAAAGAAACAGAAAACCCAGCTATATTCACACCAGTCTTTAAATATTTAAGGAATAAATGCCAAAAGATCTAGGAAGAAGGAGATACTGACTGCTTGGCATTTTGGACACAAGACAAAGATTTTTTAAAAAAGAGTTACTTTGTAAGATGAAAAAGAGATTAAGAAGCATGAGGTATTTAGCAGGTATGAGGTATTTGGGCAGGAGAGTGGTGATAAGATGGGATATTAAACTGTATTGATTTAATCTTACTCTTTATTTTTGTTAGTATTTTAAAAATATACCTCCTCAGTTATTAGCATCCAAAGGCACATGGAGTCAGATATTAAGAACTTAAGAAGAGCCTGCTGTATCAGGCCAATGAGCAAACATATCTGTGTGTATTCAGAAGATGGGGGGAAGAACAATGGCTATGTGTCTTAGGGGATTGTGACTGAAGACAGTCTGTGGGCAGAGACATGGCATTCAGGGGATGGCAGAGGGAGACTGGCTTTTCATTACGCTGACCTTGAATGTGTCTTATCAGAACCAACAAAGGAAAAGGAGGATTCCTATTGAATACATGATGGATTATCGCTGTCCATCAGCTACTCATACTGCTTATCAATGCAGTTGACTGGTCACTATTTTAGCTCTAATGTTATTTGGCATAGTCTGGTTTGTTTTTGTGTTTTGTTTTTGCATTTCCTTTCCTTCTGACCTCACTACATACACTCCTCTCTCCTTCCCTGTCTCTCTCCCTCTCTTTCAATCTCTACATCCATGTGTGTGTATACTTGCCAGCTTAGTGTAACATTCCATAAATCCAAAGTCCAAAAAAGGTTCTACTAGGGAAGCTAACGTGGTGCCCTCAAGATACTATTTGACTCTAACTCTCATCACCCCCAGCCACCATGGATAATATTAAAGGATGATGGGTAATGTAGTCTAGCAAGATCCATAGGGCATCTACCCCTAGCTTATACCATAATAAATGTGTTAGACTTTGGGAAGTCACAAGTTAATTTCTCATGTCTGCTGCAACAAAGTAAACATAATTGCTCCACTACAAACCATGTCGTATACATTACTCTTAGACGAAAGCCCCCGTATTCCATCCCTTTATCATCAGTATTGTTAATTGGTAATTGGTACCATGCCCAACCTCCCTGGTTATGAAAGAATGACCTACCACAATGGAAGCTGAACTGCTAAGGTAGCATTATGTGTAATGGTGCCCATGTTCTTTCAACCCATAAGTAAGGGGCTACAACAAAAGAAAGTGCAATTCTGTCTCTTTTACTTTGCTGAAAAACCTTGATTTCACTTCTCAGTTCCAATGGCCTATGCCTACCCTTCAAGAAAATCAAGATATTGGATTCAGTAACTGCATTCTGTTAACAAAGAAAAAGGAGGAAAAAGAAGGCATCCCATCAAAGTCATAATTCCAGCCTTTTGCACAAGAAGCTTTAAGCTACCTTGCCACCCTAGAGTATTAAATGACATATTGAGAGTCTGGGAATATTAAAGTCAGGAAGAGGATAGGTGCTCTACAAAATCCGAAAGATCAAACTCTTGATTTGAGGAGTGGAAAGTAGAAGTTGATAACAAGTGACAAAAACTCTTGGCAATTTATTTTCCCTTCTCTAAGAAAAGGGGCTTTGCCCACTGTGCTTTGTCTCTCCCTCTCTTTCCTTGAAAAGCCAGTTCTTGACATCCTGTAATTAGCACTACACAGCACTTGAGGCAGAAAGAATGTAATCGACAATAATTACTTACAGCAGAACTGAAAAAAGCCCTCCTATAGTTATTACTACCACTAAGCCTTACTGAGTCATTTAAAAAGCAGTTTAGATTTTAAGCAACACAACAACAAGTGGGGAGGTGGGATGAGAACAAAGAGGGAAGGAAATGTCAAGCTTCAAATATTCTTATACCTTAGGGCTAAACTAGATATTACATGCAAATGCAAGGACTATTACCCCCCCTTTTTTAAAAAAAAACAGGAAAATGTTCCTGTTTAAACATCAACTAGTTAGGTAAGGTTATATTCATCTGCCAGCAGTGTCTTCTGTGGCACCCATCTGGGATGATGAATGGATGGAAGGGTGATAAACATGCACAGGTAAAGCTCCTTGACCAACAGTTAAATGATGTGTGAGGTTTTGAGATATCTGGGATCATCTACACTGAAGAGGGAAAAAATTAAAAGTAAATTACCTGTCATCAATTATGTCCATGCAAATATTCTGGATGCACAGTAATTGGAAGTGGCAAATATTAACTTCTGGGCACTGAATCTATATTAGTAAGAATTATGGCATACATTTTATTTGGTCCTGCATTAGCACAAAGGATTGTGCAGTTCCCAACAGAGCCGATCTAAATGTAGACTCTTAACTGTATATGCAAACAACTCAATCCTCAATGTCTTCCCTCTCTTTGATTAGCCAATCTTGCTATGCCTCTCGCTGGCATGCCAATATTCCTAGATTTAAGCTGTAAATTCCACTGAACACAGTGGCTCTTACTCCCAAGTAAACATGTATGGGATTAAAGTGTCATTGTGGACTCTGGGTGTCTACTTAGTGGAAATTGTAATGGAGAACCCTGCTATTCCAGCATTAATTTGTTATGATCATGGTCACTTTCACACATTCCAATATTTTATTCAAAACAATCCAACCACATTTACAATTCCACATCCCTAGTGATACCATTGTTTTTCTCTGTAGCATCTTATCAGGTTTGATTTTCTGCTTCTTTAATGTTATCATCAGGTTCTTATCGCCTGTCGCTTGTGATTCAGCAAAAGTTTTAAGCAGCTTGCACAAAGCAGAACAGAATTTTTGTATATTTTGTAGGCTGCTTCAAGGCCTGTTTTGGCATTAAGTGATATATAAATATAATAAAAATGATGATGATGATGATGATGGATTTCTCTTTCTTTTAAAATGTTGGTAACTTAATTTAACTTGAAGTAGTTATTTCTAAATTTGCATCTATATAAATCAGGCTATGCAATTTTATCTGAACTTATATTCTCATGTCTTTTTGTGTGATGCATTCTCACCTCCTCCACAACAGTTTGAGGTACAGGGTAGAAGGGTGCGGAAGAAGTGGGGGAGGGAGAAAAAACTCACAAAAATCTTATCTAGGAAAGTTTAGCTCAGACAACACTCAATGAAATGATATTGTTGGTTTATGCGGAGGAAGACTGGAAGGAATAGCAACCAAGCCCATTACTTCTTTCAGCAACATTAGCATCACAATTCTATATATGACCACTCAGAAATAAGCTCCATTGTGTTGCGTGAGACTTACTCACAGGTGAGTGTGAAACGACTGTAGCCTATATATATTTGGATCCACAATCCTATCTGAAATTTTCTACCCTATTCATAGACAGGAAAGTTGGGGGAGAGCATTTTGCCAAATATTCTCTAATGGGGGCAAGGGCTGGAAAAGAAATTGTCCAACATTTTTTGAAGGTTGGCAAAAAAGAAAATCGGTTTATGAGAAAATTAAGCCTCACTCTACAAGAGTGGCTACACTGTTCTCAAAAATGCGGGGAATGGCAGCCTGGAAGAGGGCATTCTGTATGGCAGCCCCTAAATTATAAAATGCCCTCACCACAGAAATCCATGTAACATCTTCATTGTAGAGCTTCTGCCTTATGCTGGAGGTGTACCTCTTTACCCTGGCCTTTGACTGCCAAGGTATTTTGTTTTGTGAGCTCCACCTCTTCTGTTTTGTTGACTCTGAACTGTGCTACTTTTGCTTAGAATTGTTTCACTTGTTCATTGTAATTGTATATAACCTGATTTGCTTCTTTTATTTACTTCTAAGTGTATGGTTATCGCTGTAGCCCATCCAAGGACCATACGGTGAAGGGCAGGTAAGAAATCTTATAAGAAATTGAATAGATAAATAAAACATGCTGGCATAAGGGAAGCAAGAGGCAACAACGCACAGCCATCAGATTGGCTAGGCTGGGTCCTTTGCTTTGCTGGATTCTTTAGTCTGCCCCAAGGTGGTAGCGTCATAGCACCCTCTCTCTTATCTGAGGCAGGACTCCGGCTCAGTGGTAGAGCATCCACTTTGTATGCACAAGATCCCAGTTTCAATTCCCAGCATCTCCAGTTAGGGCTGGGAGAGACCCCAGTTGAAACGCTGGAAAGCCAAGACCAGTCAGTGTAGATGATACTAAGCACGCTAGACCAAGGGTCTGACTTGGTAGAAGGCAACTTACATTCTTGTGCTCGCTCTGCACCATTCAGGAGGACTTGAAGCAGTCAGCAGTTTCACTTCCAAGCCAACACCTTTCAAACCTATATTTCTTTGGCCCTGAGAACAGTGTTCACTCTCGTTTCCTGGATGCCGCCTAATGTTATGCAGCGCCGGTCATCCCACATTATGTCATGTTATGTAGCAGGTCAGCAGGAACTGTCATGTTCAGAGCTACCTGGCATTTTTGCCAAATCATTTGGCACATCTCGCTTTCTCATCAGCTTGAATTATGTGTAGATCATCTCAGTCGCTCCAGATAATTATTGGCCTCCATTCAAGCAATGGCAGGGGAGCCAAGAAAGCACTCAGTAGTCTTTCCCATCTATAAACTGCAGAATATACGTTTTCAGTTTCAACAATATATATCTATGTCAACTCATTCCCTGTGCTGTTTTGGCAAGCAGGTCTTCTCTCTCTAAGCAATACTGCAGTACAAAAACAACAACTAAAATATGGCAAAACAAGAGGGGTTTGTTTGAAATCATCTGAAGTCCCTTTCCACCCATCCTGCATTGCAATGAGGACTAGCGGCCAAAGGGTTGGATCCGCCTTCTCCTTTCCAGCTTTGTCATCCTGCCACCTCCTCTCCATCCGGCCTTCTCTTAATGCCCTCCAGCTCCATCCTGTGCATGCTAATACAAACTCTTGGCATTAAGAGCTGTTTGACAGGGGAACAGGCTCCCACGAGAGGTGGTGGACTCTCCTTCCTTGGAGGTTTTTAAGCAGGGGTTGAATCACCACCTGTCATATATGATCACCAATTGTGTTTCTTGTCCGCCAAGTCCTATAGTTTTACTATTTGCCCACCAGTGCATAGCAGTTGCAACAAAGTGGTGAAAAGTTATACATGTAATATAGAATGTCTCCAGCGCAAAGCAAGGATTAGCCCCAAATTCAGTTGGCTAGTCAGGCTCATGCTTCCTGTTCTAATATGGAAAAGACAACCCTGTTCTTCCTTATAGGATTGCTCTGAAAATCATTGTGCAAATGTTAGTGGTACTAACTGATGTTCTTACTCACCTGGCTTGGAATACCAAATTGCCCAATGTTTATCTGAATTAGCAAACAAGTGTTATAGGAGAACAAGATGCACAAATACCTTGAATTTTATTCCAGAGCAACTCAGGTTGGTCAAACCATCGCACAAGTGCTATAAAGCAGGCAAAGTGTACCTCCTCAACAGTAGCTCACTTTTATTTTCAGAAAAGGAAAAGGAAGCAAGTGTTGTCCATCCCACAAAAAGTCTGCCTCCCTCCCAGTTTAGATCATAATCCAAACCAGTTCACTTTCCCCCTGACTACTTCTATGGTAGCATCCCAGAATATCTGATCAATGTAATCTTCCCAGGGTGCCTGAAGAAATTCAAGAGAGTGTATCACCAAGGGTTCCTTGCCCCTGGGACACTGTTGAGCCTACCTAAAAGTCAAAATACCCTTGTCTGGGGCCTCTATTTCATTCCTCAATTTATGGGGCTTTGTTATGGTCATTCAGTGGGATGGTGAGGACACTTTTCACAGTCTCAAAAATACTCTCTTCTGTATTGTTATTTCATAGGTTCCAGAGCTAAAAACCTAATGAGTGATTAACTTCACCTTGATCAGCTTGGATCAAGGGCATCCAAATGTTGATGTATTAATGCTGTGTTCCCTTTCTGAAAGTGTCAGTCACTGATCAGTCTTCACTGCACTACATAGCCACACAATGAGAAAGATTTGATATACGTGTGTACATCAGGGACCACTAACTGGGTAAGACAAGTAAGAGAAAGTAACAAATAAGGTACGTCAATCCCTGACACTACATGGCTTCAGGCAACTGATAGAAATATGACTATTCAAAATGGTCTTTGGCTGATTAAGCTTTTTTGGTGGTGGGATCTGGTGCTAGAATTATTGCTATAATGTTTTTTCCCCATTTAATTGCTTTTTAATTAAGGTGTTTATTTTGGCCTTTGGTTTCTATTTTGAAATACTGCTTTGTATTGTGACTTGTTAGCTGCCTTGAATTCCTCAGCCGGTAGGATCAGAGTTTGTTAAAATAAATAAAAATGAAAAATACAAAGAACCAGTTGAAAGGAGGAACAGTGCAGATCAGGCTCTGATTTAACTTACGGCCAGCAAGAAATATAAAACACATACACGCAAAGCATACAGACCATTATTCTCTTTGAAAGACAAGTCCATGCAAACCTACTCCTAAGGAAGCTCCAAAATGGGCAATGGGGATATGGAAAGACAATTCCTGAATCAAAAAGAAATAGACTAGACTGGAGGCAAAGGCAGTGAATCGTGTGCCTCTCTTGATTCTGCAGGTCTTGTACAGAATTCAAGGAATGAAAGGGCTAGGGATTAAGGACTGCACAGAGAGTTTACAAATGCCCATAGATCCACACAAGGGCAGCCAGGGACATCCTAATATAACTGTTGCCATATTGAAAGTAAAGCATTGTGGGACTAGAAACTAAAGTGGCGTTCAGGAGGCAATAGATTTGACATGTATACCGGTATTTACGCAAAATAAACAAACAAAAAAACAGTTTCCAGTCACCTCCATTACACAGGATTTAGAAGCTTGGAATGCAAACAGGCAACAACAGTAATTTATTACCACTTAAGGGCTTGGGTCATAGTGGTTAAAAAACAAGAATTATGGGTGGCATCCATACAAATAAAACATAGTAAAAGAGATAGGGCCACTTAAGTTGCTAAGGAGATATATATATATATATGCAATTTGGGTAGCATCACCATCTATCAGTTGCAGCCTGCGGCATTTTAAACACCGTATCTCTTATCTGCAGCACTTACAGACTTTACAAGGGACAGAATTATCTCTGTCTAACCACTGTATAACTTTTTGCTGTTCATGAAGATGAGGAAATCTGGAATGAGACAAGGAACCGAGTAACTTTTCTGTAATTTATTGTATAAATTGAAGTTTAGAAGGGAATGTGGCAATTCACAATCTCCTTGCTGCACACTCAATGACACAGGAAATAGTTGGCTTACACATATTGCCTTCAAGTATCGCATCACATATGACATGAGATCTGAATGCTAGCATGCTCTATGGAGCCTGCCAGCAGGCCAGTCTCAAATATGATTTTCAAAAGTATTAGATCAGGGATGGGGAACCTGTGGCCCTGCAGATGTCTTGAACTACAACTTCCATCAGTCAGCAAGGCCAAGGATGATGAGAACTGGAGAGAGAAAGGTTGAGGGAAATGCATAGCTGGGGTGGAGAGAGATTCTGCAGAAATTATCACTGATAAATTGTATGCTCATATCCTCTAACCCCTGCTTAACCTGCCAATCATCTTAGAATCATCCATGTCAGAGATCACTAGCCATTGCTAAACCAAATTGACTGTCTTTCCAAACAAATATATCTCTGGGTTGGTTCCTTCATACGGTCATCTACCCATGGTCACATTTATTGGTTTTAGCTGGAAGTTTATTACCCTCAAACTAACTAAGGCTTAAAGTAATAAAATAAAATATTTAAGGGCCTAGCAGTGCAATCACAATTAGTAAGTTATGCATAGGATTGCAGTCTACATCCCATGTTTATTCAATCAATGATGTATGTTGTACCGTATTGGCCCGAATATAAGCCATACCCACAAATAAGCCACACCTTTAAAATTCAAAGGGGGGAGGAGACAATACCCGAATATAAGCCACTCCCTTAAAATTATGCAGGCACTCACACCCATAAATGGCAAACATAGAAGAAAATCCGATGGGTACCATTCCCCCGTGCTCCTGGCCTGCTTCCTGGGGGGGGGGAGCCACGCCACTTTACCAGCAGCCTTCCCCCCTTCCCCCTTCTTTCCGGCAGTTTGGGGGAGGTGGGCAGGCTATGCGCCATTGCCCCGTGCTCCCGGGCTGCTCTGGGGGGGGGGGAACCGTGCTGCTTTGCTGGCGGCATAAGGTTGCAAATATAAGCCGCACTTTAACTTTTCACGTTCAGAATTTAGGGGGGGGGAGTGCAGCTTATATTCGGGCCAGTACAGTATATCAAAAAGTATGTTGTACAGAAATGTTGAGTGTGGGCTCCAGTTTGGCCTTTATCAAGGTTTAGAATGGCCCTAATTTGCTATTTCTGCTGCAGCAGTAGACATCTGAACCCTCAAATGTGCCTGTCCTTAAACACCCTACAGCTTATTGTTCTTCTCATTTGCTAATAGGTTACTAAGAATACTTCCAAATATATCCTTTCATGTGAGCCTCCTGGATCCTAAATTTGGAAGGCGGCATAGCAATTATCTCTGCTAAAATCTTCCTGCATTGTGACGTAAGTAAACATCCCCTGAACAGCTTCCATAAAATGTTGCCACTCACTTTAAGAGCTTCTCCACATATCTCCCACCAATCTCCCACCCTCGCAACATTGCATTTCCTACACACACACACACACACACACACTGTAGGGAATCCGATTAATGAAATTTCTGTACAGTAGTACTACATTGTGGTTTGGGGGTCATTGTTTGTTAATAGTCTTTGATTTAGACATTTTGGTCTAGAAGGTACATTTTAATTAAAATACAGAATTGGAGTAAAAAAATCTAAGTGAAATATAAGGGGCCTGTTTTAGAAAGACTCACAGTTCAATCCCATGCATGTATAAGTCCCAGTGAGTTCAATCGAGGATTCACTGGAGAAAGCCATAGGAGTCGAAAAAAGATTTATAATACAGGTATTAGCATAGAGTCCTGGATGGCATAAATGTGTAGGCATTTGTATAATAAAAGACAAAGCATTGCAACCTTCACTATTTGACTTTCAGTGGAAGGGATATGTTTCCAATAAATTAATTTTGAGAAAAGTTCATAAGACTCCTGTCACTCATATGGGATGCCTCATGACTTTTCTTAGAATTAGGCAAATGATTTCAACTTCCTACTGCATGAGTCATACCAAATGCCTAATTTAAGATCTAACTCACCTGTTTAATGTAGTTTCAAAAGTGAATGTCCAAAATGTATGGAATGTTGATATTCACATGGGAATTCCAGAAATGCAGGTCAATCAGAGGGCACTCTACAGACAACTTGGGGATAGTGACATCCCGGAAATCTCTGAGCTTCCCTTTCACACTCTGTGACTGCCTTGTCAGATGCCGTGTTGTCATTCTGCAGTTGAAAGAATTTCATTTTGTCATGAAGGTTCATCAATTGATTAAAATGCCCTGCATATGTGAAGCTGTCATTACAGATCAAATATCAGAGCCCTCCTGTCACCTAAGATCATCTCAAACACAGTATTTGCAAATGAAAGGATCAGCAACTCATCAAGTTCTGTTGAGTAACTAAACAATAAGACCTCATCCAATGATGCACGTTTGTATGAATCATACTGGGCATCATGGCAGAGTGGGAAATATCAGTCCAAGCTGATGTTGGGAATTCCATTCCACCCTTGCTGCAGATGTATGGGATTGTTACAAGTCACATGTCTGTTTACATTCCAGCACTGATTGTTGGAGTCTCGTGAGCGAAAATTGAGATACGCTGTTCAATATAGGTATTGCTTTTGCAGTTCTCTCTCCGAGGAAGAAAGACAGAGGGGAAAGCCATCTTTTCTTTGTTCTGTTACGTTTGATTTTGTGCGCAATAAATTAGGCTTAGATGTTACAGCTCAAGGCTCAGCTTCTTTTTGGACTGTGCTAGTTGTGGGCTCATGTCCTTGGATATGGGTCTTTGAGATCTTTAGGAAAGGCCTTCCTCTAAGTCCCCCACCCCACCCTCACAGGCATGTATGATACAGACAAGGGAGAGGGCGTTCTCAATGGCTGCTCCCATGCCCTAGAGAAGCTAAACTGGCTCCCTCCCTTGTTCTCCTTCCATAGGAAAGGTGAAGATTTCCTTGTTCCAACAGACTTTGAGGATTGACTGCTGGTGCTAGGCATAGATGTGTGTATGTGGGTGTGTTGTATTTAATTATTTTTCATTATTGTTTTCCCCCCTGTGTTTTTAGCTTATTTTTACCTGTAAGCTGCCTTGAGTCCCTGTCAGGGGAAAAAGTGGGGTATAAATACATATATAACAACAACGTCATCTCTGCCCACCCACTGTCAGACTAACTATCCCATGTTGTGCAAATAAGGTTATCAAGGGGACTTAGACCCACTTTCCCTTGAAAAATAGTAGAAGCCTCCATGTGATCTGGAGCTCTCGAAAGGAGGGTGAAGGTCACTTGCAGAGGGAGGGAGAATGGGAATTCTTGTCACACTTAAGTTAGTCCTTGAGCTTCTGAGACAAATCGGTATAATAACAAACCCTGAATGTAGTGAGGTTGGGGAACTCTGGTGTAAACTGTATGCTAATTCAATATTATATTCATTCCTAAAATGCCTGGCTTGTGCCAACTGAAAATAGTCAAACTCAGTAAGCACTTCAGCTCATTTTTAACTTTAAGTATCTGAGTTGTCCCATTGGATTAAGCCTTCCATTAGCACACAGTTGACAGCTAAATTAAATGACTACTTTGAAGGGGGAGGAGAATCCATAAAGCAAACCCGTCCACCAGCAAGTAATACCTAACACCAAATAATCACTACCTGAGTTATTGAAGCATAGAAAAGAAAAGCACTTCCCCTTAAAACATCACATTCATTTCCAAGATCAATTAAGATATTCAATCAGTATGCACAGCAGATTTTGGCGGCCTCCTTTGTGCATAGTGAAATCATAAACATAGGCATTTACTCACCCGCAAATGGCAAAATCTGCCCTTGCTTGAGAAGGATTGCACTAATAATGCAGAAAACTGGCAGAATTAATCCCCTCAAAAATTACAAACATGCCTGAAAATTGTATCCAATTCTGGCAGAAAATTTAAAGTCAGAGATTTTTTCTTTTAAAAACAAAACATTGAAAGGTTTCCTGCATGAAAGCCCCTGCATGGATCCCATGGGGAGATCAGGGTGCCCTTTGCCTAGAAATTAACAACAACAACAACAACAACAACAACAACAACAACAACAACAACAACAAAATGTATATGCCACCTTCATCCATAGAGCTCAGGGCATCACAAAATAAAATTACAATATAAAGACCACAAAATACATAGTAAAAACAACAACAACAACAGACCGATAATCCCATTTAAAAGGGCATCAGATGTCAATCAGCCAAAAGCCTAGTAGAAGAGGAATATTTTTGTCTGCTGCCGAAAGCTGTATAATGAAATTCTATCCACATCTATGAAGGAAGGAAGTTACAGCTGTTTTTAGATTCCCCATTATAGTCAATAGCAGGGAGTGTTTGGCACTGCCCAGGTATTTTTCGAAACCAAAAAATGTTGTTGATTTGAGTTGGACCTGTCACACCCAAAATCAGGTGATATCAATCTAATACCATATTTTGGTCTGCCATCTTGATTCAAAATGGTTCCTGGCATCCAAACTTTGACAAAGACTGCCCCTCCACCTTGGCAAACCTTGTGCTGAATTTGGCAATGATAACTTAAGAGGTGACCAAACCTATGTCAAAAAACTGGCAAAGTCACGCCAAAGTGATGTTTTGGTCTGCCATCTTGATTCTAAATTGCAGCCACATCCAAATGTCAATGAAGAATGCCACACACACACCTCAGGAAGCCTTGTGCCAAGTTTGGTGATGATATCTTGAGGGGTGTCCAAACATATAGAGAATGAACAAATTGACAGGCAGAAAGACAAAACCCTTTTGAAAATATTTAGTAGGTGGAAGAAAACAGAGCTTTGATTTAAAAATAAAGAAAATATAACTGAAATCCTAAACATATTTATCAAAGATTAAATCCCATGGAGCTAAGTAGGTCCTAATCCTGACCCAAATGTATATTGAATTAAACTATTCATGGGCTACCAGCAATTCTCATTTTGTATAACTGATATGCATTAAGATGCAACTAGAACTGTTATTAGAATCATGTTTTGAATGCTCACAAATAATATACAGCTTTGATGGATACAACAAATTTCATGTATTCTTATTATAACGCATTTCAACCTAAGTTTACATTTTTAAATATGTTGTAAATCACTTGGAGACCTTATTTATGTAGCAAGCAACAGACAATTTTAAATAATGTTAGTTGGCAGCACTTCTTAACATAAGAATAGATTGCTTTGAGGAGCTGTAATAGCACCTGAGGTAAATCTTGCTCCTGTGCATCTGGATTTAGCTTTTTATTAGACATATGTCTTACCAAATAAATGCAGCAAACAAGTTAGTTCTTAAAGCAAGTTGTGAGCTCAGTGCTGGACCATGTAAGAAAGCCGAAAAGCACCCTCCTATCTGGATAGGCAGATGGCCTCAGCATGCCTTCATGCTTGGTCAGGTGTTATTAATCTATGACCAAAAGAGCAGGTGGCTGACAGATAGTGCAAGAACATTCCACAAATCATTTGGAGATCCAGCAAGGATGGGGGGAAATGATTAAATATATATTCCTTTTATTAATTTTTAAACAGGAAGATCCAAAATTGGAAGGGTAGAAAATAGCAATATTTGGACAAGAAGCAAAAGAAATTGCATGCCACAGCTTTTCAATTACATTTTGCCAAATAAGTAATACGGTGGCACTGTGGGTTAAACCACAGAGCCTAGGACTTGCCGATCAGAAGGTTGGCGGTTCGAATCCCCACGACGGGGTGAGCTCCCATTGCTCGGTCCCAGCTCCTGCCAACCTAGCAGTTCAAAAGCATGCCAAAGTGCAAGTAGGGAAGGTAAACGGCATTTCCGTGTGCTGCTCTGGTTCGCCAGAAGCGGCTTAGTCATGCTGGCCACATGACCCGGAAGCTGTACGCCGGCTCCCTCGGCCAATAAAGTGAGATGAGCACCGCAACCCCAGAGTCGTCCGTGACTGGACCTAATGGTCCCTTTACCTTTAATATGGACAGCCTTTTGTTTTATCCAGGGTAAATCCAGGGTAAATGGATCAAATAGGTGCTGAGTTGATGGCCAATAGTCCGGGTGGTTGGCATTCTAGTCAAACAGCATCTGGAGGGCCACAGTTTCTGCATCCCTGGACAGAGATACTTCTTCACAGAAACAGTGGGATTTGGAAGATGTGAGAGATGTGGCCTCTCAAAGTTGGCCTTTTGTGAATTGTGAATTTCAAATGTAATACGTGGCTTCATTGTTTTGGCAATCCAAATTGGTTATCATGTCTACAAAAGTGGGGTATGAATGCAATAAGTAAATGAAAGATGCACAAATAAATCCAAAGCTAATAACTGAAAAGCCTCTTCCATATTATATTTGGATCCAAGCAGAGAAGCTGCAGTCCTTAATACAGTTCCTAGGAAGTGAGCCACATTGAAAACAGTGGGACTTACTTGATAATTTGGACTTATTCATGGCAAATTACTAGTACAAAATTGTTAGTATAGTTTTGCAATAAATATCAATAAATTGGTGCCACTTATCATGGATTGGCCCTACACTTCTTTACTGTTTTAACACTGAACTAAATTAGCCAACTTTTCCATTTCAGTAATGCACAGTGCTTTCTTTAACTACTCCATAATCAAAGGATCAATGCCTTAGGTGATTTTCAGCTCCTTGCCAGAACAATTTCATCAGAAACCTACAGAACACTGACCAGCAGTCTTAATAACAATACCACACTGTTTGTATTCATCAACTAAAACACCCATTAACTCTTCCACAGAAAATGCAAATAGATCTGTATGATTTGGTCACCAGTCCGCTCCATCAGTCCAGATATGCCACCCTTAATGAAAACTGCACTCGAAAGTGGTGTCCTCATCGCCACCACCTGCAGTTCTTTAAAACAAGCATTCTCAATGTAACTTAGAGGTGACTGAGTTTCCTAAGACCAAAAATCATCACACATTAACACAGAAATTTCTCAAAGCAAACCCAAGTTAAGAAAGATCATTTGTTCAGTTTGCTTCTTTTTAAACGCTGTATCTGTCTGAGGGATTTTCCCCACCTACCCCCAAATCCCCTGCTCAATATAAATCGATTCTCCTTCAGTGCACATAAACTGAATCTCAATTCCCAACACAGAAAATGGTGACATGAGAGAAGAAGACAGAAGCCCAGGGTGAGAGGTGGGGATCAGTGATAACAGGTTGATCCTGCTTCAGTAACTAAAGCCCTAAGCAATAGCACTCCAGCTGATTTAAAAATACCTCTTCAGAGGCACTTTTCAGGCAGAAAACAATAGTTATAAGGGGGCAGAGGGACAGTTTCAATATGCCACTTTTTAAAAACACTGATGTACTCTTGTATTATCTCACCAGTCCCATTTGGGACTACATGGCCTCCATGGCAACCATGGGGCTGTCTTGATGAATCATTGACCGGACACATAGAGCAGGACTGACCCTCAATTCTACTCGGTCCCTGGTGCTGTGTTTAGTGGTCTGGAAATAAGGAGAGGGGATCTGTGCCCCCCTGTTCATGGTAAGATTACCCTCTGTCAGAGTTTCCAATTTCCCTCAGGGAATCGATTTGGATGGTGCTACCCCAAAGACTTATGGATGCCTGAATACTCTGGAGGAATTTCTGCTGGGTAGAGCTGGCTGTCCTGCCAAAGCCTCGTCTCACTGCGGAATGGCAAGATGTGGAGAGCCATTGGTACAAATGCTCCTGAGCACCCTCTCTGATACCTCAGAGCATAAGTGGCTACCTGGTATCCTGAGCAGCTATGTGCTGTGAAACAAGTCAGATGATGAAAGTACCACTGTGAGGACAACCAAACTATAAACTTCAGCTGTAAACCACACCTGGTGATACCAGAACATTGTAAGGAATATGTTTAATGCAATGTATGTATGTATGAATGAATTAATATTAATACCACCTTATTTTTATGGCTCTAAGTTGTTTTGAATAGTTTTGAATATTGTTTTTAATACTGTAACCTACCTTAGGACCTCAGGGTGAAGGGCAGGAGGAGGAGGAGGAGGAGGAGAGTTTGGATTTGATATCCAGCTTTATCACTACCCTAAGGAGTCTCAAAGTGGCTAACAATCTCCTTTCCCTTCCTTCCCCACAACAAACAGGTGAGTGAGACTGAGAGACTTCAGAGTAGTGTGACTAGCCCAAAGTCACCCAGCAGCTGCATGTGGAGGAGCGGGGAATCGAACCCGGTTCACCAGATTACAAGTCCACTGCTCTTAACCACTACACCACACTGGCTTTATAAAATAATAATAATAAATACTGGCCCTTCAAATTGTCCTACTTTAGCTCCCTAATTTTATGGCCATGTCTTGACGTTCTTAATGAAGACACAATAAGCTGGCTACCTCTACTGACATCATTCACTCCAATACCTAATTGTGGGAAAGGAAGGGCAAAAAAAGAAGGAGGGAGTAGGACACCGTGGGATGGTTGCACTCACAAAGGCCCATGAGCAATGAATGCTGACAAGGGAGAGGAAACCCCATGCAAATAAGGAATCTGAGGGAGTTAGGAGTGAGTTTACTTGTTGCCTTAGCTAGTACTAACAGTGCCTGCTGTAAAGGCACTGTGAGAATTAGGGCTGGGGTTTTGCAGAGCTACTGCTGCCCACTGTCTTCTAGGAACTGAATGTTCTCATCTCAAGGATGTCAAAGGTACACAAGGTCCTTTGGCTCAGCATGAATGGGTGGGATGCATAAACATGGAGATTTCCAGCTAGTTGCCCCCATCCCTTTTAGCAGCCGTGGGTTACTTGCTACAGGTTACATCAGCAGAGGTAATGTGATCCCACCTCTTGAAATAGGTCCTCCAGAATAATTTGGGATAGCCAGAGTGTGTTATAGTGGATGGGTGTGCCATAAAGTGTCATATTTCTATGTCTCCAGCCCAGTAGGTGGTTTGTGCAATGACTCTTAAGGCCTGTTATGAGAAAATGGCCACTGGGGAGAGATCACATTAAATTCTTCTCCGTGACAGCTGTTTCTCACCAGCAAGCTATTTATAAGCAGGAGCTTCTTGCACAGATCAGGGGACTTTTCTTGATGCCACTGAGGTTTGCAGGGATGTGAAGGAAATCCTCTGGTGTTTTTGGGAGCTGCATGCAAACAGTTTGCTATGGGGGGTGGGGTGGCCATGGAAACTAGGAATGAAAGTGGCTTCCATGTCAAGCTACCTTATGAAAGGCATAGTCTTCCCACTCCCTGGTTATCCAACATAATGGAAATGTTGGGATTGAACACACACAAGGAAGGATTGTCACCTAGAAGGCAAGGATTTGTATGTCATTTTGCTGAATAAAAATGGTCATATGGGGGTTAAGCACTTTCTCCTCACCCACCTGAAAATGCCTCCCAGAAACTGCTTTGGTATTACAAGAAATAGCAGGCTTATGAACTCTGTGTTTTCCTGGAAACTCTTAGTTCCATTTTCTGTGCTGCTTGCTGGTTGGGGTTGTTCTTACTCTTCTTGTTGTTGCAGTCATTTATTACCTAAAATGTACCCAAGTGCCACTGTATTCTGCTCTGGTCAGACCTCACCTGGAGTACTGTGTCCAGTTCTGGGCACCACAGTTCAAGAAGGACACTGACAAACTGGAATGTGTCCAGAGGAGGGCAACCAAAATGGTCAAAGGCCTGGAAACGATGCCTTATGAGGAACGGCTAAGGGAGCTGGGCATGTTTAGCCTGGAGAAGAGGAGGTTAAGGGGTGATATGATAGCCATGTTCAAATATATAAAAGGATGTCACCTAGAGGAGGGAGAAAGGTTGTTTTCTGCTGCTCCAGAGAAGCGGACACGGAGCAATGGATCCAAACTACAAGAAAGAAGATTCCACCTAAACATTAGGAAGAACTTCCTGACAGTAAGAGCTGTTTGACAGTGGAATTTGCTGCCAAGGAGTGTGGTGGAGTCTCCTTCTTTGGAGGTCCTTAAGCAGAGGCTTGACAACCATATGTCAGGAGTGCTCTGATGGTGTTTCCTGCTTGACAGGGGGTTGGACTCGATGGCCCTTGCGGTCTCTTCCAGCTCTATGATTCTATGATTCTATGATTCTATATTGAAAGACATAAATTCATTATACCATTAAAAAACATTAACATTCTCATACAAACACCCGCAATTCAACATACACAACATAATATACTGTGCACACAACAACGCATTACCCAATAACAGCCAGAGGAACCTTGGGCAGCACACTTCTTTGAGAATGATGAAATAAATGCTGTTCTGCAAAGAAGCAATAAATACCCATGAGAATAAATAAATTTAGAAAATTGTCCAGTAGCACCTTAGAGACCAACAAAGTTTGTTCTGAGTATAAGCTTTCGTGTGCATGCACACTTCTTCAGATTCTTCAGATAAAAGACTAAGTTACATGTTACAAAAAGGGCAAATCAGGGGTTGAGTTTTCTCCTCCCCGTTCTATAGCATAGAGCATGGGTAGGCAAACTAAGGCCCGGGGGCCAGATCTGGCCCAATCGCCTTCTAAATCCAGCCCGCGGACAGTCCAGGAATCAGTGTGTTTTTACATGAGCAGAATGTGTGCTTTTATTTAAAATGCATCTCTGGGTTATTTGTGGGGCATATGAATTCGTTCATTATTTTTTTCAAGATATAGTCCAGCCCCCCACAAGGTCTGTGGGACAGTGGACCAGCCCCCTGCTGAAAAAGTTTGCTGACCCCTGGATAGAGTAAATGATAGTTGTGAGCTGAGGTCATGTTTCCCTGCTCCCACACTGCACTAGTGGTTGGGTCTACTGGTGGTGTGGGCAGAGATGTGACGACATGAGGGCACAGGTAAACTTACCTAGCCTTATATAGGTAAAGGTAAAGGTACCCCTGCCCGTACAGGCCAGTCTTGACAGACTCTAGGGTTGTGCGCTCATCTCACTCTAGAGGCCGGGAGCCAGCGCTGTCCGCAGACACTTCCGGGTCATGTGGCCAGCGTGACGAAGCTGCTCCGGCGAACCGGCACCAGAGCAGCACACGGAACGCCGTTTACCTTCCCGCTAGAAAGCGGTACCTATTTATCTACTTGCACTTAATTGTGCTTTCGAACTGCTAGGTGGGCAGGAGCTGGGACCGAACGACGGGAGCTCACCCCGCCACGGGGATTCTAACCGCCGACCATGAGATCGGCAAGTCCTAGGCACTGAGGTTTTACCCACAGCGCCACCCGTGTCCCTTAGCCTTATATATAATCCCATAAAACAGGACCAACCCTACTATTAGACAGAAGGAGGCAACTGCCTAAGGTGGCATATATGGAAGAACAGCAGCAACCCTCAGCTGTTCATTTTAAGCCCTCCAGCCATTCTGCTTTGTTACCATGTAGCCTCTGCTGCTGCTGCTGCTGCTCCTAATATGGCCTGCTGCTGCAGGTATGGTGGAATACACTATCTTCTCCCCAATGTAGAATTAAGTTTAAACTGCCAATCCAGTCAGTTTCTATATGTGGAATGCGGAGAAGAGAGGGCACCATCTTGTCCTTAGCCTCAGGCAGCAAAATATTTTGGGCCGGCCTGGCATAAAGATTTTTAGCCAACAAATATGTAACTAGCCTGCTGGATGCTGGCAGAGAAGGGTCAACCAGGTCGGTGTTTAAATACAAGATGAAATACAGATTAGTAATTTACTAAGGTGCATGGGAATAGGGACGCGGGTGGCGTTGTGGGTTAAACTGCAGAGCCTAGGACTTGCCGATCAGAAGGTCGGCGGTTCAAATCCCTGTGACGGGGTGAGCTCCCATTGCTCAGTCCTTGCTCCTGTCAACCTAGCAGTTCGAAAGCATGTCAAAGTGCAAGTAGATAAATAGGTACCACTTCAGCGGGAAGGTAAATGACGTTTCCGTGCGCTGCTCTGGTTCGACAGAAGCAGCTTAGTCATGCTGGCCACATGACCCGGAAGCTGTACGCCGGCTCCCTCAGCCAATAAAGCGAGATGAGCGCCGCAACCCCAGAGTTGGCCACGACCCCTAATGGTCAGGGGTCATTTTTTTAAGGTACATGGGGGCCCTGCTCCAATTTGGGACCCTATAAGGTGCCACATGTGGGACGCGGGTGGCACTGTGGGTAAAAACTCAGCGCCTAGGACTTGCCGATCGCATGGTCGGCGGTTTGAATCCCCGCGGCAGGGTGAGCTCCCGTCGTTCGGTCCCAGCTCCTGCCCACCTAGCAGTTTGAAAGCACTCTTAAGTGCAAGTAGATAAATAGGTACCGCTTTATAGCGGGAAGGTAAATGGCGTTTCCGTGTGCTGCGCTGGTGCAGGCTCCCAGAGCAGCTTCGTCACGCTGGCCACGTGACCCGGCAGTGTCTCCGGACAGCCCTGGCCCCCGGCCTCTTAAGTGAGATGGGCGCACAACCCTAGAGTCGGACACGACTGGCCCGTACGGGCAGGGGTACCTTTACCTTAAGGTGCCACAAAGTGGTCCTGATCTGAGATGGGGCTAACCCAAACCAGATCCAGACTTTTGGGTGGGGGAAGCCTTGCACAGACCTATGGGCAGGAGGGCGGGGAGAGAGAGACATCAGAAAGGGTTGAACTGGCAGCTAGGAGAGGGGAAAGATGGAGACATGCAGGTGGTCTGCATGCATATGTACTTCCGCACTCCCAACCACATATTTAATCAGTCTTTAAGAATCCCTCACTTTTGACAGTCGTACATCGCTCCAAGTGAACCTGATTCAACCCGGGGTGATCTGGGACTGCCTCAACCCAAGCCGACTGAATCCTGGATCTACATGCATCAGCCTGATTCAGTTCAGGAACCAGTGCACAGCTTTTCCATGTTATAGAAAGGAAGGAAGAGAAGTCAACACAGAGATGCTGTTTTCAGCAGTAGCCCTGTGGTGATCATAAATGTAATTTTCCCCATCAAGGTGCCAGGCACATTCTTCTTAATTAAGAAACACATTAAAAGTGGAAGAAATGGCACCATGCTTGCAATGCTGAACTCTTATATTTGATTCTGTTTAGGTTGCAGCAAAAGTTAAAAGGTACTTCTTAATAGAAACCTAAGTTAATCTTAATTATTTTGTAGTTACTGCCATATGGTAATTCCGTTTCACTGGCATTAAAAATGATGGGATCTCAGTGTATGGTTTAATAAGATTATTCCCCGCTGTTAATTATTTGTGCTTCGAGGGTTTGACACAAAGTAAGATAAGAAGGGGTTTCTCTAGGATTATAAATATCTGCATATTCTTCTTATTCATTGAGAGTCATCTGTTCCAGAAATACGGGTGGACTACATTGTTAATGAGGTTATTTTGGTACATGAAAGATGGAAAAATCTGTGCTTTAACATAAAGCAGTCATGAAGTCTTATATTTAAGTGCAAGTTGTTTTCAGAAACTGAAAAATAAAATGGGAATACTTATAGTGTTTCGGAAATTTCCCCTTTTTCTTTCATTCCAAATGTCCAAACTGATGTATATTTGCAAAGCTGCCTAGACGAGAAACCCCTTTTTAATAAGTCAAATGGGAAAGAATAGATACACACAGTTTTCTCAGGATTACAGGAAGATGTTCTTGGGAAATGGCTTCATTTTACATCGTAGGCTGGATCTGACATAGGTTGGGCCGAACAAGCTAGTTCTTGTTTTACTGTTTACCTCACATTATAAGCTTCAGTTACTGGGCGGCAGGGGAACCCTTGCAGCACATTCCTCTTGAAAAAGTCATAGACTCTCTTTCAAGTTTCTGTAACAAATTCCACTAAAACCACCTTGCAGTCCCACAAAGATACAACACAGTGAGGCAAAAGGCAGGAGCAATTCTACCACCCAGAAGGCAAGATAAACTATTTGTCATAGTAAATGATTAATTTCACATTCTGAAACATTCTAATGAGCGTGTCCTCAAAGGGTCTCGGTATATTCCCCCTCCCCTCCCCCAAAAATGTGCATGAAACAAAAAATATCACAGACCAATAGTGTTTCTCAATGATTCACACTACTCCAGAGGTTTCCACTCCACAGATTTGCCATTCACCTGCATATTCTCATGGCACCTATCTGCATTCATAGTTTTACTGAATAAGAAGAGACCTTGGACGTCATCTAGCTTAGTCAGATTTTTCTTGCCAGCTTCCTGTAGCCTCAAATGGATTACCTCAGAAGGTGATGGACTCTCCTTCCTTGGAGGTTTTTAAACAGAGGTTGAATGGCCATCTGTTAGGGATTATTTAACTGTCACTGAGATATCAGGCCACATTCACACCATACATTCAAAGCACTGTCATACCACTTTAGACAGCCATGGCTTCCCCCAAAGAATTCTGGGAGCTGTAGTTTGTTAAGGGAGCTGAAAGTTGTTAGCAGGCCCCTATTTCCCTCACAGAGCTACAATTCTCAGAGAGGTTTAGTAATCAATCTCTCTTCACAGGGAACTGTAGCTCTGTAAGAGGAATAGGGGCCACCTCACAACTCTAAGCACCTTAAATGAACTACAGCTCCCAGAATTCTTTGGGGAAAGCCATCGCTGCGTACTGTGGTATGATAGTGCTTTAAATGTTTAGTGTGAATGTGGCTTTACTGGCAGTGGCTCTCCAGCATTTCTGACAGGGGTGTCTGCCAACCCTAACTAGAGATGCTGAGGACTGGATCTGGGACCTTCTGAGTGCATGGCAGATATTGCACCACTGAGCTAAAGCGCTTCTCCTCATTCTAATCAGGCCGCCATAAGCAGTTGCCTTATAATGGAGCCTTTGTTGCTATGTATTGCCCTAGCCTGAAGAGAAGAGGGAGAGCATAAGATTCACCTTCTTTCCCTCAGCTTTTCTTTCAGCAGGCAAGTTTGAACAAGTGGACCTTTGATTCAAGCTGACAGATGTGGGCTGGAAGCTTGCCCAAATCACCCAATTTGAAAACATGCTGTGGCAAACAGGGACTTAAGAAAGCTGGATCAGGATTTCATCTGGATAAAGAACGATGAGCTAGCCAAAGGGGAAGAAAGCATACCTCCAAATTGTCCTCCTGACAAAACGGCAGCACCGTGCACGTGGCCTCTTTTGGTGGGCGTACATTTTGTTGGGAATCTGCCAACATACTGACACCCTGCAAAACAGTCAGGTGCATGATTTCATACAAAACACTGAAAGCACCAGTATGTACAGGTTCTCCTTCCCAAAAAACAACACACATCAGAGCCCATTTCATACATTATGTCATAGGGGAAGAACCTCAGATGTGGCCCTCCAGGACTTTTTTATCTGGCCCTTGGGTTCACTCTAAGTCATGACCCTCCACTGATTACACCTCCTCTCCCAGCCAACACCCTTCACTGGTACTCTTCCCTACCCCCCCCCCCATGCTTTTGCCTAGCTGAAATCTGCAAAAGAAAAACAAATACACTTTTTCAGGTTACTTGGGCTAAGACTTTTTAAAAGTTCACATTTATAAACTTGAGATCAGCCGACTAAATGCCTTCTAATACACTTTGGGGAAGAATTTACCAACAAGCTGCTTTTGTCTGCTAATAAACATAGATCAGGGGTGATGGTTAGTCTTCTTCACTTACAGTCCAGAAGCAATCAAATGATTATTTTCTTCCTTAAGCCAAAGGCAGTATGTTTTTAAAACGCACACAAATTCTTGGAAAGGTAAAGCAGAGTCAAGAAGACGACTTCAGGCCCCTTTTCATTATGGGTGACTACCTCTGTCTGCAAGGTCATTCATTAAGGGGAGCACTAGGAAGACTGCCTGTATTGCTCCTTATTTTTTTTTCCCTGGTATTGATTGACATGTTTATATTGAGATTTTTCTATACTAGGAGAAACAGATAAATTTTACGCAGGTACACTTATTTGTTAAGTCTGGAGTTTGCTGAGGCTGCTACCTATGAAAACTCATAGTGTGGCTACTATTAGGGGAGGAAATATTTATTAGAGCTAACATCTCCTCTGCCTTCTTTATGCATCTCCTGGTTCTGGGAGACCAAGGGAGAGGCAAGTTTGCCACAGCAGGAGGGGGAGACACCAATGCCTCTTCACCAGCCAGACTCATCTCTGCCTCTTAGCCTGTTACCTCTTCAGTTTCTGACACCTCCTCCCAGTCTACTCCCTCTGACCACTCATCATCGTCCTACTACTAATCCCCTGATTCTGAGCCTTCTTCCCTTAGGGGTTCGCCAGCACCATTCCTCTGCGCCCAACTAGTCCATGACAACAGGTTTCAATTCCCATAAATGTGTCCAGATCAGAGTGTCAGTTGTATGTGTTAAGACCACCACAGCTTTTTTTCTTGATTTCTGAAAGCTTCTGCTGAAGGCTCACGATGACACTGCTTAAAAATATCTAAGTTAAGAACAGTTTGCCCTTCACTCTCTACCAGCCAGAAAATCAGCCTCTGAAGGAGTGTGAAATTGCCGTCATAACAGTTTAGGAATTAAACAGTACAATAATAAACACAGCGAAAGAAAGTAAGAGTGTGTTTCACGAAATGGAAAGTAAAGTGGAACAGAAGCAAGTGCAGTCGACTGTAAAGTTTCATTTAATAGCTGACGTTTTCGATTTTATCCATTGGGACTAACAAAATGGCTGCATTGTTAATGATTGATTTGTTATTTAGATTTGCTCTTATGATGATCTTAAAGTCATGGCTGGCTCAAGATGCTTTGTTGCCTGGGGCAAATGACAGGATTACATCTTCCATGATTCTACACACAGAATCTTCCTTCAGAACTGGTGATTGGACAGCATCATCCACTGGGCCTGAGGGCAGCAGACTACCCTCAGGGGCACAGGACAGATGCATGGGAAGCTGCCTTATATTGATAAGTCAGTCCATTGGCCCTTATAGCTCAGTACTGTCCACAGTGGATAAGGTTTACCTGCCACATTCCACAATATATAGTTGCATTAATGTCTTCTTTTATATTGACATTAACAAGTTTTGAATTTTCCCCACTTCAGTGTTTATATTAACTCTATTACAGTGGTACCTCGGGTTACAGACGCTTCAGGTTACAGACTCCGCCAACCCAGAAATAGTACCTCGGGTTAAGAACTTTGTATCAGGAAGAGAACAAAAATCATGAGGCGGCATCGTGGCAGCAGTGGGAGGCCCCATTAGCTAAAGTGGTACCTCAGGTTAAGAACAGTTTCAGGTTAAGAACGGACCTCCAGAACGAATTAAGTTCTTAACCCAAGGTACCACTGTATTGTTATTATTTAGATCTGAACTATGCCTTCAAGGGGAAGGAGGGATGTTTAATTTGTCATTTTTCTTCTTCAGTAGGTAATGCCCACATCTTTTGTATCAACAGGTTATCAAGCAATCACTGCCAAATCCACTTCTTTGGATTTCTAACAGACTTACCACATAAGGTCCTTATCCCACAGTCAGTTTTGACAGAGCAGTCACTATGTAGGGGAGCTGTGAATTTACTCAGGTACAAATCTCACATTGGCTAGGCTAGGGGAGCATAGGAGGAATAGCTGTTTCTCAGCTCAGCCCCATTTCCAGTCTGAGCATAATAATACCAGCAAATATTACAGGCTTACTGAGATAAAATAGGAAAGCTTGAATTCTGCTATGTAAATGCTAAGTATTAATTCAGAGGAAGATCCCTTGCATTTCCATGTTGTTGCAAAGATTAATGCCGTTATTTATTTATTTCGGGTTTTTTATCCTGTCTGATTGCCAAAGGCTTTGGGCAGGAAACACATTTAGAAACAATAATCAAGAATGTGTAAAATGTATAAATGGCCAGAATGGGTGCATGCCTGTGGTGATGTTGCACTGCTTCCATTAACTTCAGCAGATATTTTGCAGGGTGGAAACATCCTGTTTCACACAGTTGCTTCCAAAAAGTGAACAATACAGAACAACAAACCCCTGCATTGCAAACTTAACACAACAAACAACACAAACAACACGAAGTATACTAGATAGCACTGCAATTCTTATACATGTTTTAGTACAACAAAAACAAAATGTGTACACTTGTAAATTCTCTAATATATTTGAGGGCCCACAGGATAGTATCTATTACTTTGTTTCAACTATAGACTTATTATACTTCTATGGACGTTCAAAGATTGACAGACGTGTGTTCATTTGATTTCAAATATATTAGAGAATTTGCAAGAGTATACATTTTGTTTTTGTTCTACTAAATCATGTATATCATTCAATAAGAACTGCAGTGCTATCTAGTATACTGGTCTTCATGTTGCTTGTATTGTTTGTTGTTCCAAAAAGTGAACAAACAGACAGTAGCCCTCATCTCTGTTGACTCCTGGCAACTGTCTGTTAGCATAATGTCACCATAGTTAAGAGCCAATGGCACACCTGTCTTCCATGAAATTTGTCTAATCCCCATTTGAAGCCATCTAAGCCAGTAGTCATCACATTGTAAAATCCCCCCCATTCCCCCTGAAAGGATCATTCAGGTTTGCTTTTGTCACCCTCTAAGAGGAAGAGAGGTCCAAAGTTGAGCAGAGGCCACCATGAATGACCCTCTACAGGTTGTTGACCTTCAGGCTTTGCATACAAAAGTCACATCTCTGTCTTGGCTGAAGTAAGATAAACACAACCTCTCTGTTCTTTTCTCCTCAAATTATATACTGTTTTTGTTCAGTTTTCCTCGGTTATTGGGATTTATTTTTTCTCTGGACTCCACCTGCAGTATTTAAGCTATTTTGCAAACAGAAAGTGTTTTCCCATCAAGTAACTACATGGGTTCACAAGAAGCATTTTGAGTTTTCCCCAAACTTATCTTTCACCCCTCCCTCTCTGTCACTGCCCATATACTTGCAGCTTTTTCTTTTTTAATCACAAGCATGTATTTGAATGATCTCAGCTTTTTAGAGCCTCCATCTAACCTTAATTGCAACTTTGATTTTAGTCGTGTGAAGTACTGATTACAATAAAACTGGGCTATGTGTGCACTCAGATGATAAATATAGATGCACAACCTCTCTCCTGATCGTCTTCACAAACAGACAATCAAATCAAAATGCAAACTGTTTTTTGAAAGAAAAAAATAGATACGTTTCTGTGCAAGTTGCCACTTCCAATGTGTCATTTTCCCCTTCCACGAAAGAACTAATGTTGTTACTGTTCCTGCCAAAAAAGAAAAAGAAAAAGCCCTGAGGGGCCCATAGAAATCACTCGAAAAAACAGTGATTAGATAAAGACAATTTATGTTATTGATGGCTCCTTTGACCTGTAAAGAACTTTAAATGAAGGACAATTTCAATTACTCCACCTTTCAGTGCTCTGTACAGTGCCTGCTTCCTCTTTTTAAAGGAAGAACTTAAATGGTGCCTGTAAAATATAGCACTGCGAGTGACGTTTAGAACCCACAAGTGCTGCTGGCTGGGTCAGAAATCATTAATCTTCATGAGTGACAATCTTCCAGATCTTAGCAATATACCTTCTCCCTGAGGAGGAGGGGAAAGAAGGAAGTGAGCCGGGCAGCTGAGTGACCTTGATGTGTTGAGAGTCACCATCGCAAGTTGCGAGTCAGCCCTGCATGAGTGCACTGCTGGGATGCTGGCGATGTTATTAAAGCCAGACAACAGCACTAATATCGCCAGAGGCGCTGAGATTAGAATGAAGCTTTGTGAGACAGGGGGAAGTGGAGCAGACAGAATCAAGCCTGGATATTGGGGCCGGGGAGAGCAGAGGAGAACCGAGAGGAGGAAAAGCATGGGGGATAGGGGAGAGAGAGATCTTTACGCCTAGCCATACAAGTGTAGTTGTGAGGAGGGTGAATGTAAGAACATAAGAAGAGCCCGCTGGATCAGGCCAATGGTCCATCTGGCTCAGCATCCTGTTCTCACAGTGACCAACCAGATGCCTGTGGGAAACTCACAAGCAGGACTTGAGCTCAAGAGCACTCTCCCTGCCTGTACAGTGGTACCTCAGGTTAAGTACTTAATTTGTTCTGGAGGTCCGTTCTTAACCTGAAACTGTTCTCAACCTGAAGACCACTTTAGCTAATGGGGCCTCCTGCTGCCACTGCGCCGCCGGAGCCCAATTTCTGTTCTCATCCTGAAGCAAAGTTCTTAACCTGAAGCACTATTTCTGGGTTAGTGGAGTGTGTAACCTGAAGTGTATGTAACCTGAAGCGTATGTAACCCGAGGTACCGCTGTAGTTTCCAGCAACATAGCATAGGCAACATAAAAAGTTGCCTACAAGAAACAGAAAGTGGTGCCATCAAGACACAACTTTAGGGCACAGGTCCAGGGCTCCACTCAGAAAAATGAGCAAGCTGGGACGCAGTGTGGTGTAGTGGTTAAGAGCGGTAGTCTCGTAATCTGGGGAACCGGGTTCACGTCTCCGCTCCTCCACATGCAGCTGCTGGGTGACCTTGGGCTAGTCACACTTCTCTGAAGTCTCTTAGCCTCACTCACCTCACAGAGTGTTAGTTGTGGGGGAGGAAGGGAAAGGAGAATGTTAGCAGCTTTGAGACTCCTTAAAGGGATTGAAAGGCGGGATATCAAATCCAAACTTTTCTTCAAATCCAAACTCTACATTTTGAATCAGCATTATCAACTAAAGAAAGAGGCCTCCATAAGATCATTAAGTCTAGGGTCTAAAATTACCTAAGTCTAGCACGGGGAACTCAGGTGCAGTTTTCAGGAAAACCAAAGTGGCTTCTGCTAGAATTCCAGGTCATTTTAAAACTGATAGTTGTGTGTCCCAATGGACTGCATGGTTCTTGCTGGCTGGCACACAGCAAACATGTTTTGAACACAAAATGGGAAATTTTAATTTAAGGCATTGTGAATATGAAATATCCAGCGCATCAGCAGTGTAAACAGAACCATCCGAAAAATGAGTGTATACAAGGGATGCGTACCAAACACAGGATTTGGTTTGGTCCAAAATTTGGCGCTTTGGAAGCAGCTCAGTTCAATTCAGGGTCCATAGCCAAGGCTGCTTTGGGAAAATCAGGGCTTCATACCTCTACACACACCCCAAATTCAGTAATTCAGTAATTGGACATTTTAAAAATTACTATTTCCTCCCCTTTTGACAGAAGTGGACATTTACAGGCATAGCAGCCCCTCCAGAGTGAATACTGCCTGCCATTTACAGGCAAATAAGTTGTGTGTGTGTGTGTGTGTGTGTGCGCGCGCGCGCGCACGTGCACGTGTGTGTGTGTGTGTGTGTGCATGTACACACTGAACACCTTTAAAGTTTGATTTTTTAAAAACAAAGAAGCATCTTTAACCTATTTTTGACAAATTTTGAAAATGTTTGAAGGTATCACAGAAAACTCATGACAAATTTCAGAAGGAAAGGTGCAAAATTCAGAAGTTTCTCCCACAAGGCTGGCCTTTCCAGTTTTGGGGTGGGTAAAAAAAGGAAGCATTTACTCTCTCCTACTATATTGAGCAGAAGTGAGAGTGAGTGGTGTCCTTAGGTAAGAGACCTGGCAAGTTTTAGACAAATTGGTGAAGGATCCCAGTCATCTACTGCATCTGGTCCCCCAAGTTTGAGAATAAAATGCAGCATCTTGAACTGCCAGAGCTGGGAATTTATTTAAGGTCTGTTTATTTAAGGGATTCGAATGAAGTCAGAGAAATGAATCATGAGCTTTCCCTGTCCCCTTGAAGTGAATGTGAGATTATATGCTCTTCCCCCTCTGATCTGCTATACAGACACTTCAAGCCCAGCATAAAATTGTCATGAGTACAACATCTCGGGATCTGTCAAGCGTGAGTAAACAATGGAATACAAGAAGCACTTGGATGTCTTTGTTTTTCAAAGCTGGAAAAACAAAAACAAAGAAACTGTGTTTGTGGCTTCCTCGCTGGAAAGGAAAGGAGAAGGGAGGCACACAAAAATGTACCATCATGCCGTGAGCTTTGAATACAAGGCTTGTAAAAAGAAACTCTGGCTTCCCAGGATGTTGGATGTCAAGCAAACATGCTATCGGAAAGGCACCTAACTCCTTTCAAAGGAGGCTCCTGCCTAAGACATCACCAGGCGCAGTGCGGCTTATTTCTGTGTGCCTGATTGCTACAACACACACAGTTAAAAGGAGGGGCCTACAGAGACTTGGTCAAGTCCAATACATTTGCTTGGCTCATGCTGTTGCAGTGCACAGTTGGAAATTTACTCCCCATGGATCTTTTGCGACGGCACAGAGATGCTGCAGTGCAACTCTCAGATCGTATGCTGCCCTGTAAAAAGCAGCTTGAGATGCTTAGGCTATAAGGCTGCCCTAAGCAGCCATGCTTCTTTCACACATAATGTGCTTAATGGGATGGGATAACTAGCCATGATGTCTAGGTTTGAGAAACCTAGACAGCATCTTAAAAAGTAGAGAAATCACCTTGCCAACAAAGGTCCGTATAGTAAAAGCTATGGTTTTCCCAGTAGTGATGTATGGAAGTGAAAGCTGGACCATAAAGAAGGCTGATCGCCGAAGAATTGATGCTTTTGAATAATGGTGCTGGAGGAGACTCTTGAGAGTCCCATGGACTGCAAGAAGATCAAATCTATCCATTCTGAAGGAAATCAGCCCTGAGTGCTCACTGGAAGGACAGATCGTGAAGCTGAGGCTCCAGTACTTTGGCCACCTCATGAGAAGAGAAGACTCCCTGGAAAAGACCCTGATGCTGGGAAAGATGGAGGGCACAAGGAGAAGGGGACGACAGAGGACAAGATGGTTGGATAGTGTTCTCGAAGCTACCAGCGTGAGTTTGACCAAACTGCGGGAGGCAGTGGAAGTGCCTGGTGTGCTCTGGTCCATGGGGTCACGAAGAGTCGGACACAACTAAACGACTAAACAACAACAACTAGCCATGATGGCTATGCTCTGCCTCCATCATGCTACTGGATGCCTGTTGCTGGAAATCACAGGAGGGGAGAGTGCCCTGCTTGGAGGTTTCCCATGGGCATCTGGGTAGTCACTGTGAGAACAGGGTGCTGGAATTGGTGGCCTAATCTAGCAGGCAATTCGCATGTTCTTAGCACAAATTGCATCATCACAAAGATCCTCAGGAACCACCACTTTGTTCTCAGCTAAGTGCCAAATTAGGGGTCAATGAATCTGTCAATTTCAGTTTCTCTCCTTTTCTCCTTTTACCAGTTGTGCATTCCACATTTCCACATCAGTTTGCGTTAAAAAAAGTTCTCAATTTTTTTTGTCAGCACTTTTGTGCAAATTCCTCCTACTAGATGCATTTTATAGCAATTTCCCCTAATAGACACATATTTTCCAAAAGCAAATTTTCCCAATATAAAATGCATTTTATATGTAATTTTTACCAATATTTGCATTTCTCTGCACCTAGTAGGTGCATTTTTGTACATGTTATTGGCAGGAGTACTACAATGCGAAATTTGGACAAGTGTGAATTCTGAAATTTTGGACAAGCGTGAATGCAGTTTGCTTTTAAATGCAACCTGAATCAAAATTCTTCACAATCCTTAGTGCCAAAGCAGATCCTTGGCAGATACTTCCAACAACAGAAACCACATCTAAGCACCATTACCTATGATTTGTGGTGCGATGCAATTCGCCTTGGCTGTACTGAGTTATCCATTTAGCTTTAAACCCTTCATTTATCCTTTTGGCTTGACTACGAGCTAAATCTACCATTAAATTTTAACCTTTGGGCTCATCTCAGGTTACATTTCATTCTCCGCCTCCCGAAAAAGCATATTCAGTCATGTAGCTGTTGATACATTTTAATCCTTTTACTGTTGATTCCAGTGTTTTATGTTTTTAACTGCATTTACTGATCATTTTAATACTTCTTATAAACCGCTGAAAGGTTTTATTACAATCAAGTAGTATATAACTTTTCTGAAATGAATAAAATAAAAAAGGAAATGCATCTACAGAAAAGATGCCCAAAGATGGCTGGGTGTCAGGGACTGACAGTTAAAGGCAGCAAACTGGAAGCAGAGGAAGAGAGAGATGGTTGGTGTCTGTTTGAAACCAAGGTTCATGTGGCTAAGGGAGAAGCAAGACTCTATTGGCATGTGAGTGCTGTGAGCCCCTCTATCGCAGGCTCTTTGATTCTCTCACTCTCTCTCTCCCCGTCCCCCCCCCCCCACAATGTTTCATAAATACACCACAGTCTCCACTGTTCCACATTTCAGAAAAAACCCCACAGATCTTAGGCAAGAGCCTAGAACCCCTCAATCTCACACCGCTCAGAGATTAGGGTTGTATGTAACAATATGATTTGATGCAATGCTCAAAGTCAGCACGCAGTGCCAGATTTACATATAAGCTAAACAAGCTATAGCTTAGGGCCCCACTCTCTTGGGGCGCCCCAAAAAAATTCAAAGGAAAAAGGTGTTTGCATTATTAAGTTTGTTGTGAATTTTAAAAAATCATTTTAAGTTAGCTTAATAATTATTTCACTATTAATATACTTCTTCTTAATTGTATTTCAGTTCAACAATTACTTTGATAAAATTGTTGGGATACTGCCAGGGAGATAAAGTCCATCAAGGCCCCCAAGCCGTCTGCCGGACGATCCATCGACCTGCCGTAGGCACGCAGCGACATGAGTTTCTAGAAAATATCTTGCCACATTCTAGAGCTCATGCACGCTCTATCAGCAGATAATGCACAGCCAAAAGTTGCAGTCAGGAGAGCATTATTTACAAGTTTATTCAGCGTTGATCAGAACACAGAAAAACATGACTGACTGCTTTAGTGTCTGCGACACAGAGAGAGAAAACGAAAGCAACAGAAAACATAAACATCCTGTGAACAGGAAATACGCAGACTCTGACTCACAAAGCCTGCTCCCTTTTAAGGTGGAACGGAAATATCCTAACATCCTCCCCTTTCCGTGTAACCTGTAGTACCTGTGGTTCAACCCAATTGCAACCTTTGTACGTAAACCTTAAGTTGTTCTCTGTTAACAACCTTAGACAACAGATCAGCAGGAATTTCATTTCCTGGCATGTAGGACACCTGAATGAGTCCTTTCTGAATACACTCTCTTGCACGATGTAACTTAATCTGCAAGTACTTGGTTCTTTGCTTGCAACTCTCTGAGTTCAGCAAAGCCAAACACGATCTATTGTCTTGATACACTTGTACAGGACATTTCACAGAAACTCTGATGTCCTTAAACAGTTGCATCAACCATTCACAATCCATGAGTGAAAATGACAGAGCATTGAGTTCTGCTTCACAGGAACTTAGGCTCACTGTCGTCTGCTTTTGCACAACCAGTCAAACAGGCAGTGGTTGTACATGTAGCATACTCCAGAAGTGCTTGTACCATCCGTGGTGTCACTTCCAAAACTTGCATCTGCAAAGATTTCAAGACCTCCAGTCTTCTGACTGGTGAACCTCAGCCTGTAGTGCATAGTCCCTTTCAAATAGCGGGCTATGCGCTTCAGAGCTTTCCAATCCTGAACAGTAGGATTGTTAGCATGTCTGCTAAGCAGGTTAGTGCTTACAGCTATGTCAGGTCTTGAGCATCTAGCAATGAAATTCAACTTGCCTAGAATGCATCTGTACAGCGTTGTGTCAGAAAACGCTTCAGCAGTACTGTCTACCTGGTAACCTGTCACCATCGGTGTGTCTGCTGGGTTTGCATCAACCAAATTCAACCTGGTTAATACATCAGCAATTTTCTGTGTTTGGTGTACCAGAAAATTACCTGCTTGGTCCCTCTCCACCTGCAGAGAAAGATAGTTGGATACCTCACCAAGATCCTTCATGTCAAAGTGCTCCTTCAGCTGAGCTAGGGTGCTTTGGTACAAAGCCTGATTCTTCCAAAACATCAGAAGATCATCAACAAAACATAAACAATACAGTTTGTTTTGCCCCTCCTCCTTGACAAACACACATGGATCAGCTTTGCCCTGGTGAAAACCTAGAGAAAGCAATGTCTCAGTGAGCTTTGTGTTCCAACACCTGGCACTCTGCTTGAGACCATATAAGGATTTCCGCAGTTTACAGACCATTCCCTTCTGTATCTGCATCCCATCAGGTGGAAGCATAAACAGCTCCTCCTCCAAAATCCCGTACAAAAAAGCTGTATTAATGTCATGATGGGAAACATGCAGTTTCTCCTCTGCAGCTATCTTGAGCATCAGCCGAATGCTCTCATATTTGACTGTGGGTGAGTAGGTCTCGTGGTAATCCTGTCCTGGTACCTGTGAAAAACCTCTGGCAACCAATCTGGCTTTGTGTCTGACAACCTTGCCATTCTGGTCTGTCTTGGCCTTGAAGACCCATTTGCTGCCAACCAGTCTCATTCCTGGGACTACCGGTACCAGTTCCCAAGTTTGGTTCCTGTTCAAGGAATCAACTTCAGCCTTCATGGCATTAAGCCAAGGCTCAGCATCTTTAGAGGTTAACTCCTGAACCTCTTTGAAGCTTGAAGGTTCCCACACCTTCTCTGAGCTACTAAGAACAGCAGTTGCTGTCTTAGCAAACTCATCAGCAAATCTCTTTGGAGGTCTGCCCTTCGTGGCTCTCTCAGATCTGCGTACTAGACGCAAGTCTTCTGGACTCATCTCCTCCTTCTTAGGAGAAAAGTGACCAATGGTGAACAGTGGTTCTTCCAGTTCATTGTCAGACGCATCAGATGGTCTGACTGAGGCCTTTGCGCTCTTGTAGTCTGCTGTGTCATCACTGTCACTGACACCAGCAGCAGCGCCGCCCACTGAACTGGAATCCGAACTCTGATCATCATCGTCATCATCATCCTCAGCAGCTTCCTCAGCTTTAGCTGCTTCTTTGACATCACCTTCATCCTCCTCTGGGTAACTCTGGAAAATTCCCACATTTTCCCCCCACTTAGGATTGTACTCAACACTCTTTGTGAACTTAATGGACTTAGAGTTAGTCATCCATACCCTGTATGCACCTTTTCGTACCCCATGAACAAACCATGTGCCCCACGCTTCCCAAGCTTGTTGCTCTGTGGGGTGTGTACCCACATGTCAGAACCAAAGATTCTCATGTGCTTGATGTTGGGTTTCTTACCAAACATCTTCTCATAGGTGGTACAACCAATAGGTGATGACAATCTGCGATTATAAGTGTAAGCAAAATTCGACAGAGCCTCCCCCCAATACTTATCAGGGAGATTGGCATCATGCAACAATGTTTTCATTCCTTGCAGCAACGTTTGATTTGCTCGCTCCGCAAGCCCATTCATCCATGGCGATCTAGGCGTTGACAAGTCATGCTGGATTCCCTTCTCAGTCAGGAAAGCTTCAAACTGCTGAGAAGTGAACTCCCCGCCTCGATCAGTAAACAGACAGCCAATGCGTTTACCGTGAACATTCTCCAACCAAGCACAGAATGCCTTGAACTTAGGAAACGCTTGCGATTTCTGCTCGAGCATAAACACATGAATGTACCTGGAAAAAGAATCAATTAGAACCATGAAGTACCTTGCTCCACCCAAAGAGGGCGCAAGTGGACCAACCAGGTCTGCGTGCACTAGCTGGTAGGGTTTGGAAGCCTGCCTGCTAGACTCCTTGCCTTTTGGAGCAACCTTCACCTTGTTCTCTGCACAAGATACACATTTCATGTGAAACTTACAGGGTTTGATGTTCAAACCCTCAACCATCTCTGGCATCTTGGCCAGTGCCTTCCAAGAGAGGTGGCAAAACCTTCGATGTGCATCGTGAATGCATCCTGCATGAAGAACTTTGTTAGTTTGTGCAACACAACAAGAATCAACATTAGACACAACAGCACCAATGTCATCATAAGTTATACAGAACAAGCCATCCATAAACTTTGCATGCAAAATGTCCTCTTTGCCTTTTCTGATGACACAGACGCTCCTCTTGAAGGAAATCTCAAAACCACGCCCAGTCAACTGTGGGACACTGAGCAAATTGTCTGCAGCGCCTGGAACATACAGTACATCTTTGATGGTAGTGTGCAGACTTGCCAGTTTCACAGTCCCTTCTCCTGCGATTCGCAACGTCTTTCCATCAGCCAGGTGGATCTCACCTTCTTGAGGTTTGAAGGAGATAAAGAGATGGCGGTCTTTTGAGACATGGCGGGTACAGCCTGAATCAACAACAAACCTGGCTTTGGCCTTCGGAGCAGTCTTTGCAGCAAGCAAAACCTTGTTTTCCACCGGCGTGGGCTTTTGCAGCTTGCCCCCCCTGCTCCTGGCCATCAGACTTGCCTTTAGCCTTTGGTGAAGCTGTGCCAGCAAACAAAACCTTGTTTTCCACTGGCGTGGGCTTTTGCAGCTTGCCCCCTGCTCCTGGCCATCAGACTTGCCTTTAGCCTTTGGTGAAGCTGTGCCAGCAAACAAAACCTTGTTTTCCTCTGGCGTGGGCTCTTCACCCTCCCTCTGCTTCTGGCCATCTGCAGGCGTCTGCCTCTGTTTACCTTTGCCCTTCCGGCCTCTGCAAAGGCGATGACCTTGGCTCCCATGAGAAACAGAGCTCTCAGCTGCCGACTCCTTGGCTCCCCTGGAGGCTGGAATGGTGCCTGGGATGACGTGACAGTCAGCTTCCCCTGCAGCTTGCAACCGGTGCCCTCGGCATCCCTGCATTCACTCGCATTCTGGGAAACAGCCAGGACCTCCGATGCAGTCAAACTCTGGGCTGGGATGACTGGCAAATGGGCTATCTTCAAAGCATGCCACATCTTACGTGCAGTCACATTGCCAGCAAGCGTCTTAATTTCCTCCAGAGACACGGACAAGACTAGTATGTCTATCGCCTTCGAATTTTCGGCCCTCCATCTATCTGTCAGAGGAACTGGAGGGGCTTCAGACACAGTATGCCACACTCCAAACTGACGCAGCAAGCTCTCACACCATTTTGCCCAGGTCTGATAGTTGTGCCGATTTAACTTTGGGCACTCAGCAGCCTCAGAAGCTTGGAAAAACTCCATTCCAGGTTTCTATTCGAGCCGTGAGTCTAATTCACTTCAGAGACGTCTTATCTCGGCAGCTCATAAATCTTGAGGCCTTTGGCGCGGCTCCCAGACCCATTAGATCTGCCGGACGTTCAAAGGCCCTTGCCGCGGCAAACAGAAAAGCCTCACTTTCGCTTTTCCTCCACATACCTTTCAGCAGTCTGTCGCAGTCTTACTCTCCTGTAAGTGCTGTGAATCTGGGCCCGAAACCTGTTGTTGGGATACTGCCAGGGAGATAAAGTCCATCAAGGCCCCCAAGCCGTCTGCCGGACGATCCATCGACCTCCCGTAGGCACGCAGCGACATGAGTTTCTAGAAAATATCTTGCCACATTCTAGAGCTCATGCACGCTCTATCAGCAGATAATGCACAGCCAAAAGTTGCAGTCAGGAGAGCATTATTTACAAGTTTATTCAGCGTTGATCAGAACACAGAAAAACATGACTGACTGCTTTAGTGTCTGCGACACAGAGAGAAAACGAAAGCAACAGAAAACATAAACATCCTGTGAACAGGAAATACGCAGACTCTGACTCACAAAGCCTGCTCCCTTTTAAGGTGGAACGGAAATATCCTAACAAAAATACCTATTTTGTTATGTGCAAATGGCTTCAAATACCTATAAGGTCCATAAATTACCATGTAACATATATTCAACACACAAAAAACAGTGTCAATTTGTTGTTGACAAAGGACAGGTGGACATATAAAGGGCCCCATTACCTTCAGTAGCTTAGGGCCTCATCACCATGCATGTCAAAGTGGGAATCACTCAGACGTCTCCTCAACCATGTGCAACAACAGAACAATATTTAATTTATTTTTGACTCATACTGAAGCATTCACACAGGGCAGGGGGTTTAGGGAAAGATGCTTCATTTGAATTCAGAGTAGTTGTATGGATCACAGCATCTTCATTCTCTCCTCCCCAGCACACCTTCAGGCAGTCTCCTTGTATCTGCACTGCCCGCTGAATTGCCACAGGCACACTTACCTTTCCTACACAGCTCCACTTAATGAGCAAAGCTGTTTACTAGGGAAATAGTGAGGTTAAGGAGCTGAAAGCAATCTCCTCTTTCTCTCTGATTCTAGTCCTCCACCTTCTTTTTTTATGATGGGAGAAATGGGACAGCTTAGATTTCCCAGTACAGAAACAGCGCTAACTCTGTGGGATTAAGGCAAATGTCCAGCTAAGATCCTTATTTAGCGTTGCTATGTGGAGGGTGTTCACAATTGTGGTTGGGTATTGCTACTATAATTAAGATTTAGACTGGAGTGTTGCATTGAAACAGATCCAATGTTCAGAAACTACATTTAGACTTTACTAGCTACCAGAGCCTTCATAAATGCAAGCCCCATGTGGAGCAGACAAACAGCGTGATCCTAAATGTGACAACTCAGAAGTAATTGCCATTCATTTCAGTGGGACTTTAATCCCAGGGACATGGGATATCAGATTGCGGCCTGAATTACATGAGTTTATAACAGAAGGTAGAGCAGCACTGTTGCTGAGTTTTTACAGTTTGCTAGCATAAACTCTGCTGAGTGACCAAGGATGTGCTTATTTATAACTGCCTCCCCCACAAAGCCCTGGGTAGATTCTGTGAATACAGTGGTACCTCGGGTTAAGAACTTAATTCGTTCTGGAGGTCCGTTCTTAACCTGAAACTGTTCTTAACCTGAGGTACCACTTTAGCTAATGGGGCCTCCCGCTGCTGCCGCACGATTTCTGTTCTCATCCTGAAGCAAAGTTCTTAACCTGAAGAACTATTTCTGGGTTAGCAGAGTCTGTAACCTGAAGCATCTGTAACCCAAGGTACCACTGTAGATACTGTAGGTTGTCCCAATCTAAGCAACTGGGTGTGCCTAAACTGCAATTATGAGCTTTCTGCATTTCAGTTCCCCTTCAATTCTATCATGTCACTTCATGATCTGCTAGGATGTCCATGCATCTTGCATTACTTGAGGAAAGTCTAGGAAAACAGGCAGTTGCCTTATACTGAGTCAAATTATTGGTCCGTCTAGCTCTGTGCTGTCTATGCTGATCAGCTGTGGTTCTCCAGGGTTTCAGACAAGGGATGCCCCCAGCCCTACCTTGAGATGCTGTGAATCAAACCTGCGGCCTATTGCATGCAATGCATGTGCTTTACTACTGAGCCACAACCTTTCCACCAGCTGCTACACTTCTGAGCTGGTGCACAGGTCACCAGATGAGATCACAGAAGAAATAATTGGAAGGGACCTTGAGGATTGTCTAGTCTAACCCCCTGCACTTAGGAGTCTCAACGCACAGTCCCCCACCCCCAATTTGAAACCATACCTGACTCTGTTCAGCTTGCAAATGTGCTAGCAGTTTTACTGCCGCACCACTATATGTTGCATTTCTGTTTTAAACTGCAGGCATTATTTACGGGACAAATATATACCACATATGTATATACATTAAAATCAGCACGTGCACATTTTATTCTAATCCGTGCCCTGTCTTGCCTTCTTGTTTTGGTGATGTAGCCACTGCTGCTCTAAGAAGAGCCATAGCTCAGTATCAGGCCACATGCTAGCATGCACAGAATCAATCCCTGACATCGCCAGTCAAAGGCTCTGAAGTGTAAGGGCTATGAAAGGCACCTGGGACACTGAAGAACCACTGTCCATTTCACAGTAGGCAATATTGTGCTAGATAGACCATTAGTCCCACTTGGTGTTAATTTAAAGGCATAGGTAAAGGATCCCTGACAGTTAAGTCCAGTTGCAGACAACTCTGGGGTTGCGGTGCTCATCTCGCTTTCAGGCTGAGGGAGCTGACGTTTGTCCACAGACAGTTTTTCCGGGTCATGTGGCCAGCATTACTAATCTGCTTCTGGTGAATCAGAGCAGCACACAGAAATGCCGTTTACCTTCCCACTGGAAAGGTACCTATTTATCTACTTGCACTTGGACATGCTTTCGAACTGCTGGGTTGGCAGGAGCTGGGACCGAGCAATGGGAGCTCACCCCGTTGCGGGGATTCGAACCGCCAACCTTCTGACAGGCGAGCCCAAGAGGCTCAGTGGTTTAGACCACAGTGCCACCCACATCCATGGTGTTACTTTAGCATGTTCATATAAGAGTTTTTCATTGCTGCTGTTGAATCACCATGATAATGGGCAGGGAAAATAGAAACTGGCATCAGGTCCTTTGGGCTGAACCACAAGGCAAGATTTGGATCTGGACCACTACACACACACACACACACACACACACACACACACTATCCCAAATGGAACCTAAAGTCCCATATTCTCATTCTCTATCCGAGCATAGACATCCTCGTTTTTTGTGAGAGCTCTTCATCAGAGTTATAGCACACACAGCACAATGCATAATTCGTCATGGTTAAAAGCTGCATTTAAAACCCACAGTGTAGAAACGTTCTCCAATCAGCTAGATGAAGCCAACTGGCAGATCAGAACATCAGAAGCGTATTCAAACCAAAAACAAACAATGGAGCCATCCATTTCCTACCCAAAAAAGACAATGTTGCAAACTGTAGCTGTTTAGAAGTGGTAGTTAGAATACATTGACTCTCCTTCTGCATAATAGCAAGGCGGGTGGGGCTCAAAGCAAAGGAGGGATGTGCCAAAAGAAACAAGCAATTCAAATAATAACATACCCTCCAACATTTCTCCAATGAAAATAGGGACGTCTCATTCCATGATGATACTTTTACCATTTATATCCCACACATATTACTGGGTTGCCCCGGCCACTCTAGGCAGCTTCCAACATATATAATAACACAATAAAGCATTAAACATTAAAAAACAACCTTCCCTATACAGGATTGCTTTCAGATGGCTCAGGAGTCGGGTAACTCCATACCCTCCAACATTTTTCCAATGAAAATAGGGACATCCTCATTTTCGCCATGATAATAGCAAATGCAAAGGATATTTGCAAGGAACTCTCCATGAGAGAAAGAGAGGGTTAACTCCTCCTGGACACATCAATTCTCCCCTGAAATTGATCTCCGGGTGTCATTTTCTTTCAACCAAGTTCATTTCTAGTTTTGAAGTGCCTTTGGGGACTGGACTTTAAGAAAAAACATGGGGGAAAGGGATTTGCAAAAGAAAATCTTTGAATCGTGAAGGATTAAGAAGTTCCCTCCTACATGGCAATATTCTCCTGCAATAGTGAGATAAATTTAATAAACCTAACCTATTGCTAAACCTCACCCAAAAAATATCCTGAAGGGATATACAACTGAGTAAAAAAAATACAATAATGTAAAAACTGATATGCATGCTAAAAACATATTTAATTACCATGAAAACAAAAACATCTTTGCCTGGCACTCAAACAATGACAAGGTTGGTGGCAGGCAGGCAGGCTCTCCTGGGAAGAGCATTCCATAATGTGAGCCCCACACATCAGCAATTCAAGGAAAACATGGAATTGTGAGTTATGGGTTTCTACTGTAACACATAGTTTGGCTTTAGTCTTCTTGATCATAAGATTGCCCATTTATCAATATTTCTAATTCTGTTGTTCGGACTGCGAGTGCTTATGTGGTCAAAGCCTCACCAAGCATACACAAAGAAGGGGAAACAGTAGGCTTGGAGAAACTCCCAGGTTTGCAAAAGTACCTTTTTAACAAGGGTGGAATTCTAGGAGTGTGGGAGAAAGCCACCCAAAACAGGCCAATGGGGCCAACATGCTCAATGGCCATAGAATGCTGACTGCTGGGACAGGATGGGGAAAATGAAAGTGGAAGGAGATAGGAGGGAAATGGGTGGGATATTGAACAGCAGCACTTCCTATTTTGTTGCAGGCCCCACTTGTCAATTGTTGAGAAGCAAGCACAACTGTGTTCCATATTTGACTATGTCAAAACCTAACTCATCTATATGGCTACACAGAATTTTGTTCTGGAAGTTGGAGTGTGAAGAGAGATCTACTGACAGTAAAATCTGTTTAGTCATTTAGTCGTGTATGACTCTTCGTGACCCCATGGACCAGAGCACACCAGGCACTCCTGTCTTCCATTGCCTCCCGCAGTTTGGCCAAACTCATGCTGGTAGCTTCGCGAACACTATCCAACCATCTCGTCCTCTGTCGTCCCCTTCTCCTTGTGCCCTCCATCTTCTCCAACATCAGGGTCTTTTCCAGGGAGTCTTCTCTTCTCATGAGGTGGCCAAAGTATTGGAGCCTCAGCTTCAGGATCTGTACTTCCAGTGAGCACTCAGGGCTGATTTCCTTCAGAATGGATAGGTTTGATATTCTTGCAGTCCATGGGACTCTCAAGAGTCTCCTCCAGCACCATAATTCAAAAGCATCAATTCTTCGGCGATCAGCCTTTTTTATGGTCCAGCTTTTCACAGTAAAATCTACCAACAGTAAAAGAGCCCAACTTGACCATAGCAAAGGCCCATCTAATCTAGCATCCTGTTTTCACATTGTTCAACCAGGTGTTCACCTGGGAAGCTCACAAGCAGGATTTGAGCATTCTCCCCTGTACACACTTACCTGGGACAGGAGTGAGTCGTATTGAATCTAATAGGCTTGGTCTTGAGTAGACATGTATAGCATTACAGTTACATGCTTACTCCAGAGTAAGTCCTACTGGACCACTGAGGCTTACTCTCAGGTAAGAGGGCATAGGATTGTAGACTTATTTAGTGGCTATTATGTTTTATTTCAGATTTTGAAAACAAAGCATAGGATTTGAAATTGTTTGGCATGTGTAGAATGAAAAAGCTATGCAGAACAGTGAGCCTTGGTTTTGGAGACCACAGCCAAACAAGAAGAATTCTCAGTCTGCGTCAAGTGGTAAAATGATGTTGTTTTTTGATGCAGAAAGGTGCCTTCAATTTGTGACACAATATAAAAAGAAGATCTTGTTCCAACCTTGAGGGAGTATCTCTTTGCTATTTACATTCCATATATTCCCCAGTAGATGTCTGAATATAATATTGTCCTTAAGAGTGATTTTGCTGAAAGTTGTCAAAAGAAATAGCCAAGGTTATAGAGCAAAATGTGTAGATAATGAACAGCATCCTGTCAGCTGTAGGCAAACATGTACTTAAACAAATGCATTCGACCCAGAAGGAGGCTTCAGTTTGTTAAAGAGGACACTTTCCAGCTGCGCTATTTTGAGGAGCACAATGATGGCTGCATTAAAAGATTTCAAGCTGGCGCCTTAGGCAGCCAATAGAGGGTTCTGCATTTCCTCCAAATATTATTTTACTCTAAAGAGTCTCCTTTTATGGACCAACACAGTAGCTGCTGTATATGGTACAAGCTGTGGTTAGCACTGCCAAAGCCATTATAAAGCCTAAGTCTGATGGGAAAAGGCCTTCCGGTTCTGGACCTTTATTGCACTCTGCTTAGAGACTGCAGCATTAAGCTGTTGAAATATACTGCTGAAATTCAAGAAAAACACAGGAAAAACCCTATGCCAATTCTAGGGGATGGAGGAGGAATTTGATTCAGTTCACAATTTTTTTTTTTTTTTTTTTTTTAATCATATTTATTAAAGTTTCCAAAAATATAAAAATACAAAGAAAAAAGACAAAAGAAAAAAGATGTTTAAAAACCGTACTTTCATTCCCTACTTTCTGGGACTCCCCCTCCCCCAATTGTATTCCCCTTTCCTTAATTTGGTTCTACAAGCTCTCACTCCCAATTTAAAGCTTAATTTGTTTAACCCACTATCCAGATTGAATTGTACAAATCTTACCACCGTCCCACATCATTAACAGAAAAAGAACAAAGATTTACCCCAAGATCTACCCCAGTGCCTTCCACAAATTCCCTTATTTTTAAACACGTCCGAACAAAGTAAAATAACATTCATAAGTTATGTAAAGGACTAGAAACTAAGAGATAAATAACAATTCAAAAGATGGTTACACAGCCTTTGGATTTCAAATCTCCCCTTCCCCGGTTTGAATTCCCCATGTCCATCAGTCTATACATTATCAGCTTGGAAGTCTCATTTCATGACCAGATTTCTCCCGATTCCATCTTGCCGGTTTTCTTTTAATTTATTAATTTAAATAATATTTAACTTCAAATGTCCAATCTAACAAAGGCCTTTAATTTCCTTGATCTTTACCACTCCTCCCGTTGTTCTTTCCGTGTCGTAATCAGTCCTTTATTCTTCTTATTCCTCACTTTCTCAGGTTTCTTGTCCTGTTCAGCTGCTAAAACTAGTGTCTTTGCAGAGGTTTGTTATTCAGGAACAAAAACTTACGTCCAGTCCCTTCCTTTCTTCAATAAAAAATTCCATTGTCTTCCTCTGTAGACAAAATACTCTTTCAGTTTTGCAGCTTTCCCAGAAGATAACAAGTCCTGTACGAATCCCAGGGTATTTTTCCACTTACGACCGTTCTTGTAGTATCCCGAAACCCCTCTAGGGGATTGTAATAACTTTGTATCCTCTAATCCAAAAGTCAAATTGTTGCTTATTTTCCAACAGTTTATATCCATATTATAGCAAATTGTAACAAAATTAACCAGCAAGGTCCTCATAACAAAGTCCTCTTTATATTCTCCAGCTTTGACAGCCACTTTGACAGCTGTCAAAGTCTCCGTCTCTCTTCACCAGGCTCCACGAATCGCCCCGGTTCCCAGAGGGGGGGTTGCATTTTTCTTCTCACCCTCCACTCTTCTCCTCCAGCACATTTCTTTTAATTTCCCATCGTGAAATTAATGATTTTTATCAGAGATATACTTCCCTTTGGACCTTGGTTACCCAGTCCTTGTTTTGGAATGCTTACATTAGGGGGATTGACTTCCTTTTAAATCGCCCCGCTCGTGCCAAATCCAAAATTTTGAACCCGGTTTCCCAATTACTCACGGGTTGTTGTTAATAGTCCAAATTTTCAATGGAAGAAGTCAGCGCTCTCCGTCGAATGGCATGCGGCTGCGCTCGGCAGGGAAAGCAGTGGACTCAAAGCACCACGCCACTTCCCGGCACCCGATCCGAAGCCTTTAAAAAGGCTCCTTCACGAGTCGGGAGGGCGCTAATGGTGCAAGCCGAGTCACCCATGTCCACGGACTCCGTGCCCGTGGTTTTAAGGGTCCCCGCGTCGCCGGCGCGGTAGGACCCAGCCCCTGCCGAGCAGACTCCCTCCGGAGCTCGGAGGGAGTCCGCCATTCGGCGATGGCGCTAACCCGGAAGTGATTCAGTTCACAATTAAAGGCAGACTGCCCTAATTTGCAGTTTCTGAAACAAAACAAGAACTAACACGGAGCCATCCTTAGATATCTGTATTGTTTCCAAATTATGCAATGGAGTTCTCAAGCCAAATAATGTGTAGAAAAATGCATATACCATGGTGAAGTGTGCATATCAATGCATACAGTACTGAAAATGAGGCATAAAAAGGCATTATATGCTTTGGGGAAATGTGTATATATTTGTCAAAAATGCAATAAAATTTAAAATTAAGAGAAATCTGCACTAAAACACTGATGAATGTTCATAAGGACTTTATTATTTAAAATTTGGAAACTGATGTGGAAATATGGAAGGAGAAACTGAAATGAATAGATGCACCTGTCCTTAGCCCCTTCTAACACAATATGATTATTCAAAACCCCTTTTCTCACTGCTGTTCTGTATATACAATGCGCCCCTGCAGCAGGTTGAAGGAGGCAGTGTGGCTTGTTGGTGTCCAGGATTTCAGCCTCTTCCTTCTCCTGGTTTTACCCTAATAATCAATCAGCATTCCATGTTCACTGAGCATATTCAATCCTCATTTTTCCTAAATACTTTTGGTACTTCTGCAAGGGGAAACCTTCACTTGGTACCTCTTGTGGGGGAGATGCTGTGTTTGTCTCATAAGCAATGGTAGTCTCAGTCTGAACTTTGGAAATAGTGGGAATGCTATGCTACAGCAACCATAGGCACCAATCTAGGTTTGCGGGGAGAAGACATGCAAGCAGGGGTAGGAAGACTTATCAAGGGGCTCAAGGAATGCCTATATGTACTTTAAGATGAAACCACAAAAGCAGTGCATTTAAAAATACCATTTGTTTTAGGGGGTGGGTTATACTTCTTAACAGACCAGGAAAATAAACACATCCAGATGGCATCTATTTGGCATCTATGGGCTTCCCAAGAAGTCACCTAGCCAAACACTGATCAGACTCAGACCTTCTTAGTGTCAGCAAGATGGCATCCTGTGCCTTCAGACCACATTGTAGGATCCTATATAATTACATAATCTACACAGGATTTTACAGATGAAAATCCTTGTAAAGTGAGCACATTTGATACGGAAACAATGTAGCACAGCAATGGGGTGGGAAATCCTAAGAACCCTCTAATTAACCTTCTTAACAACATGAGGGAAGTTTTCTAAAAGCCACATTACAAGATGCAAACAAGTGCATTTCAGCTTTTGCACCAACTGCAGATTCTAAGTTTACCATTAAAAAAACAAAGCCATTTTTTTCTTTAATAAAAAAGGCACTTTATCCAACTCTTATTACAGTCCAAAAGCAAATAATGCTAATTAAAAATGCACATTAAAACAGGACTGAGTGTTTTCACAGGACATTATCAAGGTCAGGACAAAAGCAATCATCACTACAGAACTGATCCCTTCATTCATTCATTCAGCAGCGATCATGCAGAATGTCCTTTGAAGCTATGTCATAATAAGGAATATGTCATCTTCCAGCCAAAGTTAAGGTTATTCCAATAGGTATTTTGTTGGCCACTGTGAAGATGGGATGCTGGACCAGACTGGACAGTGTCCTAATCCAGAAAGTTCTTCTTGGGTTCTTATGGGAGTCCTGCAGGATGAGCATTTTTCATGCTGTTGTTTCCTTGAAGGTGCTCATTTTGTATAGCACACTACAATCAAGATGGTGACAGCAGCCAAGGAACACCTAGTGCACACACTTCCATCCAAGCATAGTAAGATTCTCCTGGAAAGCACACACAAATATGAAACACAAGGGGGTGGGAATCCACAGATACCAATCTGGGTTTTATCTATGGATGCTACTGCATTTTTCTATAGCTCTAGCAGCATCTCATGTACACTAGGTGAAATCAGGACATCGTAAGAGTTAAAAACTAGACAGGAAGTAACTAGACAGGTCCAAATCCCCAATCAGCCATAAAGCCCACTTGGACCAGTCATGATACCATAGCCTAATTTGTCTCACAGTTCCGTTGTGAGAATGCAGAATACCTTGGTTCTCAAACTTAATCTGTTCTGGAAATCCTTTCCAAAACCAAAGCATTCCAAAATCAAGGCATGTTTTCCCATAGAAAGTAATGCAAAATGGATTAATGCATTCCAGACTTTTAAAAACAACCCCTAGAACAGCAATTTAACATGAATTTTACTATCTAACAAGACCATTGATCCATAAAATGAAAGCTATAAACAAAGTACTGTAGTCACACAATCAATCAGTAGCTGAACTGGGTTCCACACAGTTACAAAAACAAAACAAAAAGAGCCACAAAAACGCAAAATAAATAGCAAAAACAGATAGACCTCAGTGTAACACTCAAAATGGAGCATGTTCAGCTTCCAGAAAAAGTTCGCAAACTGGAACACTTACTTCCAGGTTTGTAGTGTTTGGGTTCCAAGTTATTTGAGTACCAAGGCGTTTGAGAACCAAGGTACCACTGTAACATGGTGGAGGTGATAAGAACCATGTATTGTCACTTTGAGCTCCTTTGGGGGAAAATGGTATTAAAAATAATAATACAAGGCAAAGAAAGTGGAGGAAAACATAGGATTCATATGTCAAGCTGGAACTTTCCTGAGAGTGGAGATTCCATTCATTTTCGGAAGATGCAGCCCAGTGTTTCTAAGTTTCTTCCTTTTCTTCCTTGACTTTCCTTTTGGGTGCAATAATTACCCAGGCTTGCAAATGGATACTACATCCAAGCTTGTGTAGTTATGTAATTAGGCTTTTCAGAGCCATCCAGGGAATCTAGACATGCTCCTTCATTAAAAGTAATGACAGAGATGTGTCAAAATCCCCATAGGTGCTTCTGGTAGAACATCCCAGGATGAGAGAAGCATAGACTAAAAACATGGTTACAGGAAAGGAGCAACCCTGAAACTTCCAAACCAACATTCCACTATTGTTTTAAAGCTGAACAATATGCCACATTGTGGGGGGTGAAACCCCCAAATAGTTTGTACCTTTAACCCCCCCCCCCAGCCTATTGACATCTACAAAGAGATCCATGTCATCAGGTTGTGTTTCAATTTTGGTTCATGTATAGATTAGGCCTAGCAATAAAAAAAACCAAACCCAGCATAGGATGCACAGGTATATCACAATAAGCCATGGTTAATGGTTTACTGTGTGTGTGCCTGAGAGGGCATGCAGGGAAGAAACTAACTACAATCTCTAGCTTTGTGTTATGCCTGAATCAGGGATTGTGGTTTGTATCACAAATCACAGTCAGTAAGCCAAGAACAAACCTTGGCTACATATCATGGTTTGCTGGGAGCAAAACAAACCATGACCCATGGTTCAGATGTAACACAAATATGAGGGCTGCGGTTTGTTTTCTCTGTGCACAAGCAAGCAGGAGTGAAAAAAGCCCTCTTAGGCACATTTACAGTAAACCATTCACTCCAGTTCACCATGACATATGAAGTGGGTCAATGAGTCTTGTGGCAGCTTAAAGACTAACAGATTTATTGTGAAATAAGCTTTAGTGGACAGGAAGAACTGGCTGCTGCTGCAATAAATCTGTTAAGTTTTTTAGGTGCCACTCTGTGTTGCTGCTGCTGCAACAAACTAGCACAGCTACCACCTCTTGAATTTGGAAAAGCAGTGTCTCTTACTCAGCCATCATCGTTCCTGGTCTAAGGTAGTTAACAGACAAAAGGATCCCAACTAAAATTGATATTATTAAATGGCAACCAGGATTAGCTACTGCTTTAGAAACTACTTTTGCACATTCCCATGGCAAGTTTCCCATCCCTTGACTCAGAACTCACCACCTGAGTCAAGACCATTGACAGGTACATTTCTTAACACCCACTCACCATAGACATAAACTGGAGATGGGAAAACTGCCTTCACAGAGGCCATGGCGCAAGTGGCAAGTCCCACTTTGAAGTATGGCTAGGGTGAGTGGGGATGAACCCATCACAGTAATTAGAACAAAGTCTACACTACTACTTAGTTGTATTCCTTCCCCACTCAACCCCAGTAATTATGATGCATTTGAACACACATGTAAAAGAAAGAAATCAAATTTAAATTAGACAATCAAACAGAAACAGAGAGTCAGACCACTGATCCATGTACCTCAGTACTGTCTATGCCAGCCTTCACTAGCATGTGTCATGGGACAGGAGTGAGCTTTGCCTACTGAACAGCAGTCTGAAGGGGGATAAGGCAGAGTGATTCCACCAGCAGCTGATCAATCTTCACAGAGGAGAAGACACTGACGAGAACCAGCTGGCTGTGGCCATCTTAAACAGTTCTCAGAAGCAGTCAGATGCTGGAAACAAGGCCTGTAGTTTCCAGCCCTATGTTGCTGCTTGCCATCTGGATTCCCTGATCTCTGGACTAGCTCTGTGATCTTCTGGATTCCCTGACTTCTGGACTATCTTGACTTCATATGTGGATTCTGCTCTCAGGCAAGAGTTCCTTGGAGACTCCTAGCCCCTGCTTGCTCAGCAGCAGGACTCAGGTGGGCCATGACACCATGGTGCTCTCCAGATGTTGTGGATGAAAACACAGTGGCTGGGGTTGATATGAGTTGTTGGTCAAAACATCTGGAGAGCACCAGGTTGACAAAGGTTGGTGTACACTGACAAAGGCAGCAGCTCTCCAGGTTTCAGATGGGGGTCTTTTTAATAATAATAATAATAATAATAATAATAATAATAATAATAATAACAACAATAATAATAATAATACCCCCAGCCACTCTGGGCAGCTCCCAGCAGAACACTAAAAAAAAAATAAACTTCAAACATTAAAAACTTTTTCAGTCATATCTGGAAGGAGATAGAACCTGGAACCATTGGCATGCAATGTCTATGCTGTGCCTGTGGGAGCCTTTCTGTTTTTATATGATGAAATACCTTTTATGCTTAAAGCTTTTTCTCTGGTCTTAATCCACAGAGAGCACAGAAATCCCCCAATCAACCTCTTGCCCAGTTTCTAACACCCCAACGTAACACTTGGAAGATAAATAGAACAATCTGCTTGAGTTGCAGTGTATGACGTGATCCTTTGACCCAGTTTGCTCACTGTTTGTTCCTAGAACAGGCGCCTCCAATCCACAGGCCTAAATGAACCAAGCATGGATCTTAATTTAGCACCAAAACAAGAGATATTGGTTCTAACCTCCAAAACTAGACAAGATCAATGAGTTGGGCAAGGATTAAAGCTGAAATGTCCCACTGCTAAAATATTGTAAAGAGATGAATGAACAAACTTTAATACTGCAATGGATAAATTATGTTGGAATGACACAAAATAAAGCAATGCATTTAAATGCTTTAATACAATAATATATCAGATGTGGGGCAGGTAAAGATGCAGGCACTGCCGATCAAATTGTGTGAGCAAAGAAGAATGCATCACCTGATGCCATGGTGAGGCCAGTTGTTCAGTAGGCAGTTGCTCACATCCACATATCAAAATGGCCTGTAGGGGTTGTGGGAGGTGAGAATCTTGTGCGCCAGTTGGAAAAGGTTCCCCGACCCATCTTATAATATCTTCTTGACCTTGGGTGGCACTATGGGGTGTGGGTCAGGAAGCACAAAAATGTTCCCAGTGTTAATAAACTTTAAGGCCGTGAAAGCAATATGAGATTTCCACACCACCTGACCTCAAAGCTGCATAAGAAGTAGCTCTGTCCATTAATGCTGTGCAAATATTGCATTTTCAGTGTGCCACGGTTAAGGATAAACACGGGAAGGGAAAATAGAACCTGCCTTCTAAGTGAGTGCTGAAAGAGGGACAAATTTACTGAACCGTTGGCTAAACAAACATCCCCCCCCCCCGCCCGAATTACCCTGTGAATCACAGCAGAGCAAACTCGGCACATTTATTGCTTCGAATGCTCACAGTCGAGAGGGTGTGTTAGTTCATGTGTTGTGAGAAACTTTCCATCAACTTGATGCTTATTGGATCAGAGCCCTGGTGACTATGAATAGTCAATTCCTCCTGTGTTATTCTCTCCTTCCTCAACAGTACAGAGCATTTGTGCCAGCCCTACCTTTACAGAGGTAACCATTGTCGGCAGCAGATTCTGGTGATGGGGAATGGTGGCAAGGTGTTGGAGGGCAGAGCCATATGACCTGCCCTCCAGCCCCTAAGCTAGCCCTATTGCCATCAGGTGCTGTGAGAATGCTATCCTGTCATGTGAGTTGAACTTTGTTGTTGTTTAGTCATGTCCGACTCTTCGTGACCCCATGGACCAGAGCACGCCAAGCACTCCTGTCTTCCACTGCCTCCCGCAGTTTGGTCAGATTCATGCTGGTAGCTCGTCCTCTGTCGTCCCCTTCTCCTTGTGCCCTCCATCTTTCCCAACATCAGGGTCTTTTCCAGGGAGTCTTCTCTTCTCATGAGGTGGCCAAAGTATTGGAGCCTCAGCTTCAGGATCTGTCCTTCCAGTGAGCACTCAGGGCTGATTTCCTTCAGAATGGAGAGGTTTGATCTTCTTGCAGTCCATGGGACTCTCAAGAGTCTCCTCCAGTACCATAATTCAAAAGCATCAATTCTTCGGCGATCAGCCTTCTTTATGGTCCAGCTCTCACTTCCATACATCACTAAACCATGGCTTTAACTATACGGACCTTTGTTGGTAAGGTGATGTCTCTGCTTTTTAAGATACTGAGTTGAACTAAGAACTTCCTTTTCTGTACGTGGAAAAGGGGTGGGTTGGTAGGGTCACAATCCTGTCCTTCTCTCCAAGCAGCAAAATCGAATGGGCTGCCAGCAAGTATTTCTACAAAGCTGTGCCCATTGAAAATAGCAGAGTATCTCACAGGGCATAGCTTTTAACCATTTGCATTCCCAATGACCATTTTATACTTATCTCCATTTGTTGCAGTCATATATAGCACCCACCCATTGTGTCTGGTTTGTGGTTAATGAGTGCTGATTCCAAAGTTGGAAGATGCAGAGAGTGAGCCACAGAGCATCCTTTTAAGACTGATTCAGATGCTTTCCCAAATTGCATTTTAATCTTTGCATAATAGTTCCCCAAGTTGTATTTCAGTTTTAATAGCCTGCTCTCCATCCCACAGATAATGGATGGGAGAGTGAATTGATGTACTACTGTTCACCCACTTAATAATAATTTTGAAGAGACACCCACACCGCGATAGGGGAGCAGCTATTTTTCAAAGCACTAAAATACATTAATAAATAAATGGAATAAATAAGTTCGTTGTGGGGACAGGGTGATCCTGATGCTTCTGGATATCAGTTGCTGGAAACTACAGAAGGGAAGCCCAATCTTCTGTTCAGGTCCTGCTTGCACTGAGAAACCAAGTGATGTTCTTGCATGCATGAAGGAGCCCTACATCCTGATCTTGAGCATCTCTCTCTACAGGGCCACAGGTCTTCTATGTTTAGAATATAGGTTTGTAGCCTGAATCACTAAAGATACCCACCCAGATGTGAGACCCTGGCTGTAGGAAGGCTCCACATAGTGGTGTCCTGGACAAGAGCCAGTGTGGTGTAATGGTTAAGAGCGGTAGACTCTAGGGGAACCGGGTTCGCGTCTCCGCTCCTCCACATGCAGCTGCTGGGTGACCTTGGGCCAGTCACACTTCTCTGAAGTCTCTCAGCCCCACTCACCTCACAAAATGTTGTGGGGGAGGAAGGGAAAGGAGAATATTGGCCACTTTGAGACTCCTTCGGGTAGTGATAAAGCGGGATATCAAATCCAAACTCTTCTTCTCTCTCCTCCTCCTCCTTCAGACCATTTGAAGGTAACAGTGTGCAAGACTGAATTCTGATGTAATGTTACCAACTCCCCTGTCCATTTGGCAAAAAATGTCATCCAAATTCACTCTGAGCGTGTCATTTTAATGCAGCTTTAAGCATTATTTTCTAAATTGTAAGGCCGAAAATCACATTGGGTATTCATGGGCTTTCAGCAGGCATAAAATATTTCTCTGTTACAGGCCTCCTGCATGTATACAGATTGATCTGTACAATCATCACATCACTTCAGCCAATATTCCTGTCTTTAATAGAGAATAGCCACATTGACTTTTGTGGAATTAAGCAACATGAGACAGAATAAATGGCTTAAAATGCCTATTTATTAGCCAGTTCTTGTAAATTACATACTGGTCCTGAGCTGGAAGTTTCCTCTTTTGTATGAAAGCAGGCTTGTACTAATTTATACTAAAATGCTTTCAAAATGGCACACTTTTATTCACACTAAGACATCTATATGTGGCTTTCTCCTCTTTCCATTCACTTTATGTTTCACATTAAGTAACTCTTTCCAGTGTTTTATTATAGAATTGTCTCACAGGTCTGCTGGAACAGCGCAATTTTACAATGCAAGTAATGTCACATAAAGTGCATTATTTTCATGAATATATTTTCATTTCTATATTTTATTGTCCTTTAAATCAATTACAAATGATAACTTCAAGCCATTAGTATTGGCCAGAATATTTACTGGGGAAAACCTGTTATAAATCTATTTGTCAGCATGCAGGAGTAAGTTAGTTTGGGAAACTTACATATTTGCTGATGGATAACTGAATGTTCTTGATGGAGTGTCAATTCAATAGACCGATACAGAGATGCTTCAAAGTCAATGAGGTGTAAATCTGGTTATAATTGATTTCTGTAAGTGAAGATGTCCTACATGTAGAGATCAGAAGGGAGGTGAAAAAATATTTCAAATAGATTTTTTTAAAAATGGGTTCAGAATAGTACTTAAATATTCTAAAAGTGCACTAGAATGGAATGCCAAAAAAGATCAAACCAAATATCATTTTATTTATCATCCAAGTGGAAGCACAGATTGCTGCTAGTATTGATCAGTTGGATGCAGTGTGCTGAGGCCATATCTATTCAAAATGTCTACATGTGTGTGTCTCTACTATTTTCCATTGTTAATAAAAAGCAGCTTCAGAGCAACACATACAGGAAAGCACATCAAGGATAGGAAAATGGCCAGTAAGAAAAGGATGAAGCAGCCTTTTTCTCCCACAACCACCAGCCCTCCACTGCTCACAAGAAAACAAAACTGCAGCCTCCTGAGGCTGCTTTCCTTTTAAAAAAAATAATCACAACAACAACACCTGCTAGGGCTTCATTACACATTTGTGTGTAACTTCTAATCTGCCCCTTAGTTTACAAACATGCTTTTATTGCTTGCAGTGTTCCAGAGTCAATATAGCTGTGGAAGACTAAACTGTAATTTATTCTGTTTCATACATCAGCAATCAAATTGCTGGCTGTGTTCTGATGCTAAAACTTTTATTGCCAGCAGAGTTTGGCAATCAGCTCCAGCCTTCGTTTAACATTTTGTATACCTTGTTCTCAAAGCATAACTTATCAGGCCCAATATAAATTTCTCTTTCACAAAGCAGAATAAAACACACAATTTGTTGCGTGACCAGGCACGACAGCCCCAGCCCCAGGGAACGTGGGAAAGGAAATAAAGACTCTGACAACGTTATGGAATTAAAATTAGGCCACAACTTTATTAAACTTCCGAATGTAGGAAGACCTTTGCTTACGTCTTGGGCGTGTATCCCTCCCAGCCCCCTAGCTGAGGAACTGGGGCACATCAGGGTAAATGGGATTTGGGGGTGCTCTGAACGACATAAGTGTAGACAGGCAGGCGAGCCCAAATCCCCGCACGCAGGGTAGTTCACTGACAACCTTTCAGTGTATGGCCAGTGACACCCATTTATGTAACCCCTTTAAGAGGGGACCCTGGAATCGCTGCCGCAGGGGGGTGAGTCACCACTTCACACACAAACACCCCATTATAGGGAAGAAGAGACTAAAGGATTTCACCCAAGGCCATAACCACCAAAGTTGTGATGAATTACTACGGGGAAGACAAAACCTGCCAATGCAGGAAAATTTCTTCCCGGTCCTTCAACAGCAACCAGTCAAAGACCGTAGCAGCACCCACTAAACAGGAAGAAAAAGTTAACCTGTAAACAAGAAACATTAACAAAGTGAGGGTGAATCTCCAGAGCTGACTGCCTGGCTGATACCGGCTCCTCCCCCTATTTATAATGGGTCTGGCCCCACTTCCCAGGAAACGAAACTTAAAGCCGAGGCTGGGTGTGAACCTCTGAATAATACAGGCCAGCCCCCTTCTACTAGCAAGTTCCCTGGGAACTGTAGCTCCACACACGATCCCGCAAAAGGCACCCAGAATATAATGTGAGTGCTCATTTTGAGAAAAGTTAGGATCAGTGGCATAGCAAGGAGAAGCCATTTTCAACAGAGCCCAGCGATGGAAGTCCGTGGCTGCATTGAGGCAGCACTGGATGTTGAAATTTTGCACCTGGGACAACCACCCCTGTGCCCCCCATGCTTTGCCACTGGTTAGGATCAACCAAAGCCTTGCACACCTCTGCGTCTTGAACCAAAGGCATTCACTGCATACAGCTTCAGCACTACCTCATCTTGAAAGTGACGTCTCCAAATACCATCCAATTAAACGGGTGATCTTGTGGTTAGGGCCCATGGAAGATACAAATTGCAGAACGTTCCTAACTTTTGACTTGCTCAACATTGCAGGGATCCTGTTCTAAGCCTAATGCTGAATCTGAAACCCAGGGTGGGGCTGAGCAGGGGACACATTTTCTGTTTAGACAACAGTGCATAAAAGAAGAGGCCTCTTGCGGGGACGTGATGTCCAGGAGCCTCCAGATGTTGGGGGCTCCAAATGCCATCACCCCTGACCATTGGCCATGGTGATGTTAAACAACATCTAGAGGACAGCAGGCTCCCCATCCCAGGCCTACTTGATCATATTAAAATAATAATAATAATCCAGTACCACATCCTGTTTCTTACAGTAGAAGCTCTTAGGAAGCTCACAGGTAGGGGGTGAAGGGCTTTTTTCAGCTGGAACTTGCTGGAACTCAGTTCCTGCACCTCTCAGGTGGCTGCCAATGCTGTTATAAGAGAACAAGAGAGGTGTTCATGGCGAGTTCCGGCACCCCTTTTTCTAGAAAAATAGCACTGATCACAACTATATGTCCGGCTTTTGTGTGTACAAACAATTCTGGACTATTATTATTATTATTTCTCCACTACTCTTCATCCAAAGATCACAGGGTGGTTTACAATATATTAATCATATGTTGACTTAGTTCACTCTTAACCTTCTTTATGCTATACTTCTTTGGGTGAGGGAGCCATTTCCTCCACCTCTAAAGCTTGAGAATATCTATAAAAAATACCTTGGGGTTATAGCTGAAGCTTCAAGGCAGACTTGATTCTGTGCGATGCTGAGTTCATCTGTGCTGTGCCAACTGATTGCCCTCCAATCACAGAACCTCATCTCCTGTGATTGAGTTTGGAGTGGGCTACATTTGATTGCTTTTCCCAAAGTGCTCAGGGAGCATCTAGCAAATCTGATGATTTATGCTTAAGCTGTGCAAGGGGAACAAGCCCATGAAAGAGGAGATGGATCTATGTAGGACGTCCTGAGGCTTAATTCATTAACAGGCTTGGTGCATAATTAATCACAAGCCAAGGTTATGTTGAAGAGATGGCTAGTGGGGCTTTGATGGGTTTGAGCGTCCTCTTGCCAGTTCTAAAG